AATATACGTTTTAATACCATTTGTTGGACATTGATGAGGCAGTCGTTTGGGATATGGGGGATTTGTCTTAATAAGACACGATATGTTTGCTATGATTTGTTTACAGGTTTCGGTTTTTGCACGATGTAATGCAGATACACATTCACGACCACTTAAATCACAAGGTGGCACAAATCCTAATTCATCTATTCCTAATACTCTATAATTATCAGTCTTATAATTGTTGTGCCGTTGTTGAAGCGCTTTATTAAAGTATTCATTTGATGATGCACTATTATCCTTGTCTGGCGGTAGTTTATTACGATGATTACTACCACTCGGAACATTGTTATAACTTGACTCTTCATCATCGCCAATACCATAATCAGCTACATTCCTTAATCTGTTTAACGACTAAAATAAAAATGTCATTCTTATAATTACTCATTATTTAAAAAATGTACAAACAACATTATTCTAAGACTGCTTACATTTGGCGACAGTTCTTCGACAACTGAATATTCTTGAATGGAAAAGAACACAAATGCTAATGCGACTTGAACGCATAAGATGATTGTGCCTCCAATGCAAAATAAACGGTATCTTTTCAGCCATTTAATATCCATGGTTGTCGTTCTTGTTGTTCAGCTTTAATGCTTCATTGTCACCAGCTAAATAAATACACATAATTTTCTTTATTTTTCACTACAGCTCAGTACTTACAGAAGCTATCAACTTAAGACAATTTAAAATTCTATTTAAATTGAAAAGGCATAATCATTATATGTTGTTAATCGTCACAACTTCTCAAATTTGAAGCTTTGCTTCGTCTCTGATTAGACAATCATTCATTATCAGTGATATACAAAGAGGTTACAAAAAGTTGTTATTTTATCAAGAGTCATTTGATGTTTCATTTGATACCGTAGAGTATCTTTAATATTATAGTATCTTTTTTAATATACCAGCTATTGTCAATAATTGTCATAAATCTATGCATATTGTATATTTATTATTTTCGATTTCGACTTCGTACCTTCTAGTTGTAGACATTAGTTGTAATTTGTAGGCACTTGAGTATTAAAAAATCTTGACTCCTAATCAAAGACATATAATTGGTTGATAAGTGATTTTTGTTTTTTGGAACCAAAACCCTAAGTTTTAACTCGACTAATTACTAACTGGAGATCATCAATTGATTTTTGTATTCTATGCTAAAAACATTCCATTTCCATTTATTACACCATGACGAACTCCAACACTCAAAATATAATTAATCCGAAAAAAGTCTGTACAAAATTCTATTTATTTATGATTGTTTTTTCATTTCTCAGTACAGAAGTTTACTCTGAATGGAACACCAGAGATTATATGAAACGCGAACATTCACTGTTGAAACCATACCAAGGTAAGAATAATTATTAGAAAGTATACAAATATATAATTTAATAGATCATTTTTCTGACAGGGTCTGGCATTACAGTACCAAACTGGGACTTTATGGGTTCTACTATAGTGACTGACAAATATGTGCGATTAACACCAGATTTGCAAAGCAAGTCTGGTTCAATATGGAACTCATTAGTATGTATTCGTATTTTGTAGTATGTTTAGTCAAATTAATCTGCTTATCAATTATCCAGTAACATAGTCTGATTACTCTGATGGGATATAATTAATTTCATCTCTTTAATTTTCTTTTTCTTTAGCCTTGTTACATCAATAATTGGGAGTTACAAGTACAATTCAAAATCCATGGAAAAGGAAAAGACAGTCTTCACGGTGATGGCATGGCTATTTGGTACACCCGAGAAAGAATGAAACATGGTCCAGTTTTTGGCAATAAAGATTTATTTGAAGGGCTTGCTGTTATTATTGATACATATAGTAATCATAACGGAGAACATAATGTATAACTAATAATTATTTTTGATTTGTCCATGTTGTTTAATATTTCTATTTTTTTCTTTTATATACAATAGCACCAACATCCTTATATTTCATCAATGATTAACAATGGATCTTTGCAATATGATCATGACCGCGATGGAACCCATACAGAACTGGCAGGATGTGAAGTTAAAGTCAGAAATTTACCAACTGAAACTCATGTTTTAATAAGATATACTGGCAATACTCTAACCGGTATGTTTATTTAATATTCTCACTATTCCTAATTAGTTCAATAAATTATTTGTATTAATTTAATTGAATATTTTAGTCATGACAGACTTAGAAGATAAAGCTGTATGGAAACCTTGTTTTTCTGTTGATGGCGTTGAATTGCCGACTGGTTACTATTTTGGATTTTCTGCAGCAACGGGAGACCTGTCAGATAATCATGAAATTTTAGCTGTTCGCCTATATGAAGTGGATTCTGATGACCCTGTAAGTGTTTTATTACTATATTATGTTAAATATAATTGAGTTGTAGGTTTTGTGCATTATTCAATATTTCTTTATGTCTGTTTGTCATCTAATAAATAGCCAAAACTAATATAAATATTTGTATCAATAACAAAAATAGCTCAAGCAAATAAGTTACAACTCTATTAGATAGTATTTTTAATATTAATTGACAATTGTTCGAATAGTAAGAAACCTATTAGGTACCTATTTAACTAATAAAAGAGTATGTTTTTGTTTATTGGTTTTTTTACACATTGTTTGATAACTTTATTGTACATTTTTTTTAGAATGAAGCTCTTAAGGATCGTTCAAATATAATTCCGAATGCTAAAATATTCAGTCCACCAAGAGGTAATTTTATCAAAAATACAAATGCTGCGTTACATATGACAATTGTGTTGAATGTATAATATTTTTCTTTTCCAGAACATATTGAAGATACAAAAAGTCCAAGTTGGAGTGGTTTAAAAATATTTTTTATTGTCTTATTCGTTATTATTTTAATTGCTGCTTTAATTGTTGGTGGTGTGTGGTATTGGGAGTACCAGCAAACTCAATCACATAAAACATTTTACTAAAAACCAGTTTAATTTTAAATGTAAACAAAAGAAAAATATCAATTTAAATTTTAACATTGCCATCACAAAAAAATAATACAATAATCATATTAGTTTTTATTATTAAATATATAAAAACAAGTAATTGTATACTATGTCTTACATGTCTCAATCAAATTTCAGTCAAAACAAATAATTTTTTTAATTGTAGACTCGTGTCTTTGTGTATTGAAATATTGTTTTTGTATAATATATACGGTATTTGTGTTCCATTTTAAATTCCATTCATTCTATGTTTTAGTCATTAGATTTTAGACTGTTGTACTATAGATTAAATACACCAATACACATGATCTACTTTTATACAATGTATAATATTAATAATTTATTAATTATAGTTTTTTTTTTTAATCCTTAATAGCAAACTAAGACTGCTTGTTAGGTCATGTAAACCTAACCATTATGATGATGTATAATATAATTTACAGCTTATGTTATTATTGGGATAAGACCACATTAGTTTTATATAATGAAAGTAGTCATCAAACAGCATATTATTCTCCTTTAATATGGCATTAACCAGTAGCAATCTTAAAATATAACTAAAGTACCTATGATAATAGTTTATCCATGACACAATAATTTGTATTTATTGGTATGTGTCCATCAAGTACACTTACCATAATTAAAATTTATATTAGAGTATAAACATGTTAGATTATTACTTACTATTTGTGTATTAAATGTTATCACATACTTCATTTAAAGTATACATTTATAATAATTATGGTTGCAGAAAAAAAATAAAATAAGCTACTACAATTTTTGATAACTTTCAGCATTATAATTCATTTGAAACATATTTAGGAAGTGTTATCTTTTTTCAGCTGATTTAATTGCGATTGTAAATCTTTTATCCGCCTATCTTTCACACATATCAATGAACTCATGTGGTCAATCTAAATAAATATATGATTCTTAGTTTTTATTATAATAATAATTTATAGCTAAATAAACTAAAAATATTTTTTTTTTTAAAATAGAGAATTTAACGTAACAATATCAAATCACAATATATCACGAGGATTTTGGTTTTTAATTGTATCATAAAGTGTTAAGATAATCTAACCTTGTGTTCCATATTATTGATTTTATGCTTTAGTTTATTTATTAATCCTACAACTTCTTTGTCGAGATATTCTTTAGTGCAACAATCAGTTTCTGAGGAAAATAAAACAATATTATGAACACTCAATACACAACTATGTATACTAATAATACCTGTAACTTGAATCATTTCGTCGTTAACTATGATATAAAGTGGACAATTTTGATTTTTTTCAAATTTTAATTGTTTCTCGCGTTCAAGTTCATCAACTACCAGTTTTAAAGATTTCAAAAACTGAAAAATAGTATTTGGATCGGCCGTTGATAACTTCTCAATAGTTTCTTTAGAAAGTGGTAACTTTACTTTCTTTAATACCTTTTGACGACATTTAATAAGATTTATTACATAAGAAATTGGTGGTGACTTAGCTTTTGAAATTTACTTTTCTATTTAAAGTATCCCAATTTGAAATCTTATTTGTCAGTGAGCTAGCTGGTACATAATTGTGAAGGTCTATTAATTTTGGCCAATAATATTTTATTATTTCAGCAACCATAGCTATTACAATTATCCGTTATTAATCTAACAGAACACACTGTAAATAATAATTGTATTTTACTTGCATCAGAAAAATCCCTGACTATGGTTTTTTTTGGACGAGTAAATTCAAAAGAGTTAATCCAATGAATTACATTACTTAAATTCATTGGATTATCATTGTTCAAAGAATCACCATGCGATGACAAAGGAAAACTGCATGATTGATTTTCACAGTTTGAATCATCACTTCTGGTTGTCATTTTTTAATTCACACAAAAATAACAAGTATTTATAAAAAAAGAAAGTAAAAAATTATATTAATAAAATAATTATTGACAAAAATAAAACTAGTTACTAGGCAACATATTTTGTTTTTTTTTTTTTTGGAAGATTAAAAATTATTTTTAAAATCAGGAACAAATAAATATAATATAATGAGACCTTAAGGAAGTCTTAGTAAAATATCTAAAATTAATATTTTCAATCATCGACATTATCATTATTGTTAGATTCGTCGGAGCATGGGAAATCTCTGTCTATAAATTCAGCTTTAAATTTTTTAATGCTCCCTGATAGCAAGTGATTACGATTTTCTTTATTATCAGCAACTTGTCTCTTTAAGTTTTTTTTTAAATTTTTTGCAATTCTCACAAATGGCAGTATTTTACAATTTCTGTCATTAACAATTTTTTTATCGACAATCTTCCTAAATTCTATATACACTTCATTATTTTTTTTTATAAATGGTATTGCTTCATTAATTGTAGTATACTCATTTGGTTTATATGCATTGAGTTCATCATTGAATATGTTACAATTATTTTCATTGATAGGACTATGTATTAAATTGTTATTTTGACTTGCTGGGTTACAAGGATGTGGGTGGAAATGAGATGAATAATGTGACTTATTTGAAATATTAAAATCACTGTCACTACTATCTTTAAGTTCATACACTTCAACATCCATGGGAATGATCTTTTTATTTATAATTTGAGCACTTGAACTGATAGGAGTAAAGTTATTAACACCATATTCATCAATTTGAACGTTAGAGTTAATAGGAGCAGAATTTTCATCGATTTGAGTGCTATGGCGGTGAACGTAATCATTAGTGGAATCATAGCAATTCATGCATTCTAATGGTACATCGGTTTGAGTACAGTTGTGTTTACCATCTACACGACCAAATGAATTGGGTAACATGGCAATACGATCCATAAACTGTTCATGATTTTCTAATAAATTAGTTTGAGTATACTTTGTTTTTTTTGTAATATCATGTAATATAGTTGATTGATCACTACTACTAGTGGTAGATTCGGAATCATACAAACTCTCGTCGCTCGTAGAATCTGAGGAAGTATCGGTTGATGAATAATCTATTTTATCACCAACATCTAATGATTCAACAGATGATTGATCATAACTTGATAAAGACTCATTAGAACTGTCAGAACTGTCATTACTTATAACGTCTGAATATTTATAGTTTGGTGTAAATGATGTTTGTGGTTCGTGGTCATATTGATAATATTCATTTTCAAAGTTGTTAATAATACCATCATTATCAATCACAACATAAGTATCATCTGTTTGAGATTTAGCTTTTGATTCTTCTTCATTACCTAGTGTTTCTGTAGGTGATTGATCATGGTCAGTAAAAGCAACATTAGAATTTTCATTGTTTATAATAACAGAACACTCTTTGCTTGGTATATGTTTTGTTTCTTCTTCATTATCTTGTGATTGAGATGGTACTAGACAATCATATTTTAAATTATTATTAGTTCCAATATCATCACTTCCCAAATTTTCTTTATCACTAAAGTTTTCTTCATCATTCAAATCTCCTCCATAGCTCATGTCTTCTACATTGCCTAGATCTTCATCATTACTTAAATTTTCCACATCACTTAAACTGTCTTCACTCTGCAACTGTAGTTCAACATTCAAATCTTCTTCGGCTTGAAAATGTAATCCATTGTCCAAATTGTCTTCACTTTGCAAACTGAGTTCATCACTCACATCATCTTCATCCTGATCATCGAGTTCTATACTTGAATCATCTTCATCCTGCAAATTTAAATCAACATTCAAATCTTCTTCATCCTGAAAATTATGTTCATCTCTTACACTTTGCCAATCAGTATCATCATCATCTTCAGTCGGCAATTCGATTTCATCAATCAATTCTTCTTCAGCCTGAAAATTGATTTTGTCATTCAAATTCTTATCAACATGTAAATTGAGTTCCTTGTTCAAATCTCCTTTGACCTGCAGATTGATTTTATCACTTAAACGGTTTTCAATCTGCAAAATTAACTTATCGATCAAGTGGTCTTCACCTGAGAAATTGAGTTCATCGTTCAAATCATCTTCAACCTTCGAATTGTTTTCAGATTGCATATTGAGCTGATCATTCAAATCTTTTTCAATCTGTAAATTGATTTCATCATCTAAATACTTATAACTTGGTGAAAGTTGTGGAACTGAATCTGTATATAATTGATAATATTCAGTGTAAGAATTATCAGTAATATAATCTGTGATTAATGGGTATTTAGATTTTTCATTAATAAAGTCAACGTTTGATGAAGGTTTTGATTCTTCATTTGTATGGACGGTGATTAATGAAGGCTTTGATACTTCATTAATATGGTCGGTAGTTAATGAAGGTTTTGATTCTTCATTTAAAAAGTCAGTGGTTAATAAATATTTTGATTCTTCTTTAATGTCTAGTAATGGAATTGATGATTGATTGTTACTAATAACAGTATCACCAGAACTTTTGTTAATCATTATGTTTTCACTGCTTTCCATAAATGTTGTTTCTTCTTTGATACTGGCAACACTACATGGAGAAATTGATGAAAGATTACAATCAACATTGCCAGAATATTTACTACTTAAAACTTCAGAATGATTATTGTCTGATGAACATTTGGTAAATTCAGTTGGTGGTTGGTAAAATTCCACTTTACATTTGTCATTATTTTCATCATATTCTTCTTTTATTTTCACATCTGGATACATATTATTTGGTGTAATTTGAAATTCTTCTTTGATTTTTGGTGATTCAGGAGAATGATGATAACAAGCAGCGGAATCACCAGAATCAATAGGCGTTTCAATTTTTATATCTAAATCTTCATAGTGTGAAAAAAGTTTTGTATCTTCACAGTCATTTTGTAATCCAGAAAATAATTTATAATATTCAATTTTAACATCAACTGCAGATGTATTTGATGATTGATTATAAAAAGTAGAAATATCTTCATAATTTGTATTGTTTATGATTCCTGAATACTCGTTTGTTAATAGTATTTTAGTTGTTTCTTTAATACTCTCTATTTTATGTTGACATTTTTTGTACTTTTTTTTATATTTGTAATGTTTTTTAAAATATTTTTTGTTATCACTGTGCATAAAACCTGAAAAATCTATAGTTAATTTAGGTTTCATTTTTTCAATTGGATCTGATTTCAATAACTCACTAGAATTAGTTACATTGTTTACACTGTGTTCGATGTTCTGAGTATTTAAATATTTATTGGTTTGTAGATCTTCTTTATTACAGAGTGATTCAGATGATAATTTATTAGAATATTTATCATGCTCCATAGTTTTGTCATCTACTTTATGATCAGTACACTGATCTAAAGCTAAACTCTGAATGCATGGTTTAATATCCCAATCAGAAACACCAGAACTAGTGCTAGGGTCGCAACTTGGTGTTGCCATGTCAACATCCTGGTGATCGACATATTCTGTGGTACTTTCTTGTTTGATTTTGGCTCTATTTATTACTAATAATCTTTCATACTCTTCTTGATCAAATTCAGTTTTTATTTCGTTTACAACAGAGTTAACTTTTTCACAATCATTAATTTTCTTTTCTGAAGTCTTTCGAACAGTCATTTTTAGCTTTTTATTTTTGTTGGTTTTTACAGTGCATAAAAAGTTAACTAGTGAAAATTTATCAGCTTCTGAATGACTAGCATTACTACTGTTGTGACGGCGATAAAAATGACTATGTATACAATCTCTTTTCACTATCATTGCACATTCGTTACATGAAACTAACATTACTTTATCAAGTCGAGGGACTAAACCGAATACAGGAATGTCGTCACTAGATAAAGTAATGGTGTTCTCTGATTTGGCCGGAGGTTTTTTCTTTGAGTTTTCGTTGGAAACATTGTTCAGCTTTTCGCTGAACATAGACCAGGACTGATTTTGAGTTGTTTCAAAAACAGAGATAATGGCCTCTACAACTGGTTGTTTGTTAGGAGAAGACATTGTATTCTAGACGCTTGGTCTAGCTGAAAAAAAAAAAATACCCAAGTATTAGAAAGTAATATATTTTAATTTTTAATGAAATACATTTTATAGAAATACATCTGTTTGATTCTTTAATTATGCATATTACAAGATACATAAAATATAATTTTACTTTTTGAAAAACCACAAATCTACTAATAAGAAAATTTCCGATTTAGTTAATTGTTAATTGTTAATTGTTAATGAAAATATTTTTTTAAAATTGAATTTAAAAAGTTTTCAAAAATACAGATTCATAAGACTTAAATAAAGATGTACATAAATATGCATGCATATCTTCACCTATGTACAAAAGTGAATGCCATTAATTTATCTGTGTAAGATGAATATACAGAAACCAATAAGAAAAATTATTGACAACTTACTAACGCACAATATAGACAATTAGGGTTTGGCAGAACCAATTTTGTGTTATTAACTTTAATATTAGAGTGAATTTATTATATTGACCTAACATAAAATATTAAAGGTAAAAACATTATATGTGTTTATATGCTGGTTTTTTTTAATGATATTTTAATTGTTAAGAAGTTATAAGAGTACGAAATATTACAATTTAAAAATTGATACTCATCTTGCTTAAAAATCATATGTAAAGTAGAAATCAACATAAAAACACAGATAATGTTTTTAATTATGTTTTATAATAGGTTGATTCATTCAAATATTAAAGCTAAATTCACAAAATTAGTTCTTCTAAAAATACATTTGTGAAATTAAGGTAACACATACTCGGCGGTTACAGAGTTATCTTAATATTAAAAAAAAAAAAATGTATTTTAAAAAAATGGATAATTTTAAATTTTAAAATTTTTAACTGTTTATTACACTAAATTATATTTAAAATCAGTATGAATTTATTTTTATGTCTGGATGAATATATAATATATACGTTATAAATTTACATTTAATCAGAATTTAATGTTCTACCAATTAACTAAATGATTTAATTTTTTTTTGACATTTTAACTAGGTAGATGCAATATTATCAAAATTATTAAGTTTTATATAAAGGAAAAACTTGGAATTGTTAAATAGTAATTATTACTAGTTATTTAGTAATTTTACATGATGGCTTTAAAACGGTTTGAAATCCACGGATACTCACTTTTATACTGATTACTATTCTTATTTACCAGTATAAATTAAAGTATCTGTACTACTGAATCATTTTAACACTATCATTTAAACATACTAATTGCTAGAAATAAGTCACAAAAAGTAACCAAACTAGTAAGTCATAACATAGCTCAATGTAATATTGTAATGTTTCTGCTTGAAGGTCTTCACTCTTCTGAGTGCATGTACGTGGTGTGTGCAGATATCATGAAAATTTATTTAAAGAAGGGAATTCTTTTCGGAGACATTGAGAGATGGGTAAATGGGTAAATGTAATGGAGGATATAAGGTCAGCTGGTATTACAAAATAATGTCTAACCAAAAGTAGATCTGAAAGTAATAGTAGAAATTACTATCAGAAAAATTGAATCTGCCACGTGACTTTAAATTAAATTAATGAATGAGAAGATCGATGCTCATTACCTCGCTAACTAACATTGACACCCAAGGATAATAATATTTGGTACCTCTATTCTGATGTATATAATTAAACTCAAAAATGTGCTTTTTTTATATTTTATTTCATATAACCTTTTATTGGTGAAAACATACAAAAACTTTTAAAATACCAACTAAGTAACAAATAACTGACAACTTATAAAAAAAAAAACATTTTATGAATTAAGCAAATCCTAAGCTATGAGATAAAATATATAAATAAATTAGTACATAAATGACTGTGGTAACATGTAATTTTAAGGGTAACTAAAATAGTAACAATGAAATAGATAGAGCTTATTTCCGTACCTAGAGGTGCACTTATAGACTATGAAGCCATTCCTGTGCTTCACTGTGGCCGATGCTGTTTTTTTGTGCCCCTAAAAGGCACTTGCCCCATTTGCCCCCTCCCTAGCACGCACTGTTGATGCTAATTAATGTTAATAAGTATATTTAAAATTAACATAAAACTACATCCCACATAATAATACAGACAAACATACTAACCTACCCAAGTATTCAATTTTCCAAGATTTTTAAATAAAATAAATATGTCCAACATTTTTATACCAAATTTAATATAGGCAAGATAAATGATAAAATTAGTGACATTTAATTTAATCGAGCGTAGGTAGGTATTAGGTGGGTACAATTATTACTTTTCTAAAAGAATATCATCAATTTTTTTTCCTAAAAAACTAAACAGAATCATACAGGTCAATTTCAAAAATCAAAAATCTAACACCACATTGTATTCGTCAATCTGAATGTGTTGGAAAAAAAAGAAAATCAAAAAAACAAACATTATATTAATATTGTACCATTGGTGATGACATCAATAATTATTCACCAGCTACATAATATTATGGTCAAGTACCTAGTTGTTTGGTACAGACACGCCCATTAAGTATACATAAAAAAACTGTATCGTCTTCGGACAACATCATGATAATATTAGTTTATTCTAGAGGTGCCTAACTATATATACACGTAAATGCTAGGTACGTAAAATGAAATTATCATCCAAAACGAGTCCAAGAAAGAATATAGCGTTACACGACCACACAAGCGCAACTATATTATATTATTCAGTAATAATAAATATATTATAACATTATGCAAACATATTATTTTCAACCCCGTTACGTAACGCTTTTGATACTCACAATATGTGCAAATTTTTCTCGTCGCTATATGTATTATATATGTATATATATATATATATAAATAATATCTATATACATATATATATATATATATACATACACATATATGTGTGTCGTACTTTCGTCCGCCTTCTACATTGTGCTCAACGACTCAATTGTGTCTAAAACGATAATACGACGTACGTCGGCGCACGAGGAAAATATTGCACGGATTTTCATTGTTGTTGCGGTCGTTGTTGTTATAATAATTATTGTAACAATTCAAAGATTCGACCGTCAAAGCCGTCATATTGACATGTCTGTGTGTGTCTGAGGCGTTGGAGAAAGCCAAGACTTAAAGAGAAATGACAATAACGTGTGAGACCACTGCTGATCAGCTGCAAATTGCGCATTTGCGCGATACCTACGTCTTTGTATCTTTGTGCGCGAGCGTGTGTCTGTGTGTGGCGTGTGCGCCGTGCGGTTCGTCGATGATATGCGCCGTACGAGTGCGTGTGTGTGCACGGCGGTCTGGATGTGAGCGTGACCCGTGTGTGTAGACAGTGTGTGACTCAGTGACTGTGCGACGGCGAGGCACTGAGGCAACGTGTGCTGCTGTGGCGTCCGGGCCGACCGGGCCCCACTGCCACTGACGAGTGAGGCTGCCGCCGTACCGCGGGCCGTGGGCGGTGAGCGGTGGCAGTGCGGTCGTCCGTCCGGTCGGTCCTGGGACGCGATAAATAAAAATCGCCGAGTGCGGACGGTACGATAAAACGTAAATACATAAATAATTGTACGAGGAGTCGATGTTTGCCCTCCTCTCTCTCGCCCCCTCCCCACCGAAACGCTCGGTCGGAGGTGGACGAGTTCTTCGATAAAATCGCGATTTTTTTTTACACATTTTTATCTCGCAGTAAAAATTTGTAGTGAGGCTGCTGCAGCCTGCAGCCCCATCGTTGTGGCGGAGAATCGAGGATATTAAAAGGCGCTGGCTGCGATGCGTGTTTCCAGTGATGTGTAAAATATTTTGGTCTTTTTTTATTCATTCCTCCGTCCAATTTTTAAAGACAACTAAGTCGATTGTCCGTAAAAATGAAAAACTTCGAAAATCGAATTCGTCAACATCGAACAGACATGGGTATCGACTCGATTAAATATTGTACATCGGTGACCGTGTTCGGTTGGCATTTCTGGACGGACGATTATGGGGGGAAAACTAAAACTTCATGCTATGGCTATAATATTATACACGATATACACGATTTACAAAATATGTGGTATCTAATCAATATCTTAGTTTAGGGTGGTAATCGGTGAAAAAGACAAAGGCAAAAAATAACACGTACAAAGATAAAAAAACGACAATTTAAAATATATTAATAATCGTTTGTCATAAAAAAAAAAATTAATGATATCAGCTTATTCAGACAGTCCGTAGTTCCGCGCGTACTCCGTTGTATTTTTGTCATGTTTTCGTAAACAAATTAATGATTGAAATTCGATTTTAAAAGCTGAAATCAGAATAAGTCAATTTTATTAATATTATTGCATTAAGTTTGAGTAACGTACGTACGTTAACGTTCAAAATATCGAAATTATAGTATAGTATAGTAATAGTATGATGTTCGCACGAATTCCTAAGCAATGGTAGGTACAAAATTTGTGTTTCTGAAAGGGCCCAGATTCATCAAAAACTATACATTTTTCACAAAAATGATCTCGACGACTGTCAAGGAAGTGCAAGTACTTTTAGTAGTTCGATTTAAAAATGTAAAAGTTTTTGATTTGATAAAGAAGATTATTTTGTATCGATCGGACAGGTCGGAGCATATTATATTCAATAATACTAACAGTTTTGAGTATACGTATTTAATATAAAAAATTTAAATATTGATAACATTTAATATTTTTATTCCCGTCAATTTGTTAAAATTAAAAAAATTCTCCGGCGAATAGCTCTTTCACGTCGATAAATTGATTTTTAATATTTTGATTTAATGAATAAATGAGAAATATTCATGCGGGTGCGTAATATATAATGTGATATCATATGCGGGTGATTGATTAGCAGTATACACACCACAGACTTCTATACTAGAAAGTATATAGTATATAGAAGTCTGTGATACACACACACACACACACACACACACACACACACACACACACATACACGCACATAGATAAGAGCAGTTAACTCAAGGAACGAAAGAATTATTGCCTAAACACAACTCCTTAAAAATTACACGTTTTGCAAGAGCTTGAAACATAATGAAAGCCCGATGGGCCTATTTTATAGAGAACCCCGTCACAAAGTGTGTAATTCGAATGATGGTTAATGAATACCTACTATCGTGAAGGAGACTTCTTGTCATATTATCTTCAAAATGTTAGGTATCTATGTACAATACCTACTATAATAATATAATGTACATTACTAAGGTATATAATATACATTTTTAAGCATCCTCACCATATTTGTATGCTTAAATTATACACTATATATTCGATGTATATATATATTGAAATAAACTTGAAGACTTATTTTTAAGTTCTTGAAATATTTTGTACCACTTGGCACTTAGGTATACTTACATCCTATACAGGATGATCCTGTATTCCTGTAACAATACAAACTTCTATTTTTCAAATAGAAATCTCCCTTTTTCATTTTAAATTATTAAGCAAATATTTTTTTAGAGAATTTCGATGTAGGTATCTAAATAAAAATTCAAATATGTGAAATATGAGTATTTTTTTAGTTTTATGACTTTGTGCACTAAGTTTCTAAGGATAATATGCCAATTGCCAATGGTACATCGTACATATACGGTAATAGATTAAGTAGATAGGAGGCTTAGCCAATTAAAAAATGTTAGAATAACTAAACTAATGATTTATTAATAAAATTAATTTGTAAGGATGATAATAAATACTATATCTAATAATATTACATATTATATATTATTTTTATTTTTATAAAGTCATTTTTAAGGTCCTAAAAAAAAAAATTAATAACTCAGAGTCTAGGACACTCTATTAGTAGTGCAGTACCAAATATCAGACATTTTCAATATGGCTTTTGAGTAAGCATACTTAAAAATTCTAAAAATCAGAATTTAAATAAATGTACTATTAAAAAGAAACATAGTGGTATGTGTGATTAAAAAATTACTCTAAATACAGAATATTAATATAATGACTGATAACCACAATTAAATACATACGTTTAAAATTAAAATAATAAAATTACTGACGAAGAATTAAAAATATGTCACAATAAAATATAAGATATATTAAGGGCTGCATACGAGTTGCGTCCCAAAATACAAAAATATATATCGCAATATCCGAGTTGCGTCCACGATTTTCTTGCGACATGTATGAGTATGAGTTGCGTACTGGTTAATAATAATATACACATTTTCCTTCCCACTTTTACAGACTGATGACTGTCATTTGTGTAAATGGTGTGGTTAAAAATTGTAGGTATATAAACTGTGTGGTGGTTAAAAATTGTAATTACCATATTATAAATTATTTATTGTTTTAAAATGTTAGGTTGATTTTATAAAAATATGATATAGTTAAAAATTCTAATATAAATATATTATATCATTTATTTATGGGTAAATTTTTGTTTGCCAATTTTCGAACAAAGTCAAGACGTGTTATAATTTTGTTTTCAAACTCAGTCATAGTTTTATAATAAATTCTTCTTTTTCCACATCCTCTCTTCGTTTATTACTCAAATTTGAACTTTGCATTTTAATATAAATATCTGTTTGGATATTTTTCAATACTTCAACAAATTGAAAAATATTAGGATATGATAAATAAAACATCCTATTTAATTTTGAGTGAAACGATTCACATGTGTTGGTGGTACGCATTAACGAGTTTGAAAACTCGGACCATAATGACGGTTGAAATTTACTTTCCAGCGAAATATAATTTTTTTCAAAATAATTCAAAAAATTATCAACTCTTTCGTCGTTAGGTTTTATAGCCATTAGGTCTTCATAAAAACAGTTACTAACCTCATCGGGTTTTAAAAAGGAAAGACCAAAGAATAATTTCAAAAATTTCCCAATTTCAGATTTATTTTTAAAAACTGTAGATAGGCCAAGACTTTGAATTTTTCTCCAGATTGATTGTCCGAGATAAAATCTACAACAACCTTTGCTTATGATATCAGGAAAAATATCTAAAACTGCCGAGTTTATATTGTTTGCTCGAAGTCTGCATAAATTATATTTGGGGCAAAATTTAAATTCAAATCGTTCATTTTTTCTATTAAGCTATAAAACGCTTCTTTATATATTGATATAGTCTTGCCTGTGTATAAAAAATATACTAAAGGAGTATAAGTAGTATTTTTAGCACCTTGAATTATAAATAATTGATAGAAAAGCTTAGGGCAACTTTTAAATGTGTCATCGATATATTAAGTTTTACACTCACTTAAAATTTTTTTAATTTGTTGTTGAAAATGCTACAATATTTTTTTCAGTGTTATTAATTAATAAAAAAATTTCGTCTTTATTAGTTTTTATTTCACCTAATTTGGTTAGTGCCAAATGCTACTCTTCCAAATTTGTTGGCAATTTTGGAATAATGCTCGACCGAGCATAATAAATATTTTTCCTTATACGGTTTATGTCAGTAGTAGTCAATTAATTTACAGCTCCTTTTCCTTTACACAACTCCCGATGTAAAATTTTGTATGGCTTTTCACATGGGTCATCTAGAGCTTTACGCTTTAATTTATTACCAATTTTTGGACGATTTAAGACTTTTTCGTCGTCTTTGCATGTTCATGATTTAAAGCACTAAAAATTATTTCATTATTTTTGTTCATTTGAAAATGACACTTGCACAAACGTTTAGAACACGACCACCTCTGAACATAATCGTTTAAAAATTTTTGGAAAGCGAATTTGTATCCATTAATACAATATAATAATTAATTTTTTTCACTGGTCATTTTAACTACTTCAAGATTTTCCATTGCAAAGTAAAATAAATATAAATAAAAATATATAAAACGCTGATGATGTGTCGAACAAATGGAATGTCGAAGTAAGACTAATGCTAACATGAACAAAATTAATTTTCAACAATACATTTAAGGTGGTATTTACAGATAAGATATCGATAATCGAGATTATCTACGAGTTTATAACCAAACAATATTCTCAGTTGCTGAAAAACCCATGGCCCGAGAAAATATACCCCGAGTTAACCGCGGATCACGGCTTTAGATAGAATAGTTGCACAACGAGTCATTATTTTGTGATCACCAATTGTTCTTATCAGATATCTGTTAAAAGTTATGTTACACCGCTATCTAGTTGCTTACATATACATCATCAAAATTGTATTCTTATTTTATATTGTTGTATATGTATTCAAAAAGTACTAATTAGTAATTTACAAATTGTATGGGTAATCCATTAAAGTTTCAAACTCATCAAATTATGAAATGAAAAATACAAAGAATAGGCTATTACGGATTTAGATATTTCTATCTAAAGCCGTGGTTCCAATTAACAACCACCAGGAGCGTTAGTAGTAGTTCACTTTTTCGTATGTTAGATAAGAACTCTCGTACACCGCGTTCTAACATTGCGTAGTATAGCCCGATGTGCAACCATTCTATCTAAAGCCGTGCCGCGGATGCAACTCGGATATGTCATGAAAAAAACGAAGCACGCAACTGGGACAAAATATCATTTATTGACGCAATTCGTATGTGCCGATATTAAGATATGTCCTGAATTTGAACTGATCCATTTCGTTATTTCATACAAAAAGCGTGCTGTTAATCAAACTGTTCAAGAATAAAAGAATTTTTAAAGAAGTCTTAAAAATTCCGATGAGTTATTATAAAGATTGGAAACCTTTAATTATTTCTGAGGTATGATGTTGATTCTCTTAAATTTATAAGTTATGCCCTCTATTTGTGTATTTTAGTGAACGTATTCAAAGGGGATTTGCGCCTCCGCTTAAGAGGATTAACCCGTTTCCCATATTAATCTTCGACCCCCTTTACTACGTCTCTGTATCATATACGATTGTATATAAAAAAAATTAGTTGGGCAAGTGCTCTGAAAAATAAGGGCAGAAAAGCATGGCAAATCCATACAACCCATCATATAAAGACGAAGAATAGGAATTATATTTCAATATTTTTCAAAATTATATTAAATATACAAAATTAACTTTTATCAAGTTACTCATTTTCATGTCGAAAAATTTTAAGTTTTTTTCCTTATTTGATATTAAAACTAGAAATAAATGTTTACATTTTCCTCTTTGTTTTGGGGTTTAAAAACATCTTAATATTTCAAATCGTGGCTGTACAGCGAATTCGACGCATCCGAGTTCAGTCTCAAAAGTAGATACTTGAAGGAAGGGGGGGGGAATGTAAACTGTCTGTGATCACCTTACCTTTTTTTGTTCTAAACCTAGTCCAGAAATTGCAGGTAGTGAAAAAGGTCTATTATAAACTAGGTAGGCCCCATAATTTTTACAAATAAAATATACATGACATAATTTATCTGAAAATTATAAATAACGTATACTACGTATGTAGTATACATATTATATACATTTAAATAATTTAATGTTGTAACAAATTCATTCACTTTTTAATAATATGAAAATTAAAATAACACGAAATTACCTATGGAGGATTATAATGTAAATTCCTTCCCGTGATGTCTTCTGACCTCTGAAAAAAAACTAGGCCAAGTTCACAACAATAAACCTTTTGAACATTTGTTTTCCTCGAGCCGAGTCTACAATCACCTATTAGGGGCTATCACAATTCGCGGGTAGATGAATACTACTCACTATACTCTATTCAGAATGAGATCGTACCTCGGCTGCAGACTTCTGCGCATGGGCGTGGCTTCGTTCCGCATTGCTAGTCTCATGAGCTGCCTAGGTGGAGGAAGCGTCTGACCGTGATCGGATGAAAACTGAATAGAGTATAGTTGTGTCCAGGAGTGTTTGAAGTTCTACACCATAGGATCTTAACTGGGGATCCATGGACCTCTTGGGGGTCCGTAGATGGTTACTCGGGGGGTCCACGGGTCGGCTGTGAATTTTTTTTAAACAAACCAAAAATGTATTTGTTGGTTAAATGGTCACAATTAAAACTAAAGCAAGAAATCGATTGGATATTAAGGACGATATGCGAATTGTTCTGTCCAATATGGTCCCAAATTTTAAAGCAATATTGCAATCAAAAATCAGCAAATGTCACATTAAAATTTGTTTTTAACTATTATAAAAATTGATTTAATAGGTGATGAAAAGGTTAAGAATCTATGTTTTACATTATATAGGTAGTAGTCACTTGTCAGCCTTGGGTCCTGCATTTTTTTCAGGTACCTGACAACCTACTACCTTAGTTGGGTTCTGAATTCCTGAATTATTTTTTATACTATAGTTGAGTCCCTAATATGTTTTTAGTGAGTAGGTCCTCCTACTAGTGTAACACTATACTAACATTTTCCTTCACAATTTAACAGATATATGAGCTTGGATAATCCATGATCTATTTTGACCAAAGGTATGGTAAAAAATCTTATTTTACAGTTTAGAAAAAATGGGACGGAAAATGTTAGTATAATAGAACTCACCAAAAAGCGAATTTTATCTACCTGATAAAAACCGGGACCCACCTAGTGTAGGTAGTAGGTATATAGGTAGCAGCTAAAACAATCCCAGACCCAGTGGTATAAGAATTAAATACCTGGTAATTGGTCAATCCATGCGGCAGGTCCCATATCTGCTTGATCCGCACGACTACAGCTGTGGCAGAGCAGGGTCAACAGTGGCCAATGGGTGGCTTCCGTGTCAACAGTGGCCAATGGCTGGCTTCCTGGTGGAACTTTTCCCAAAATCATGGAAAATATTATACTGGACAATGGTCACAGTGTACATACACACAACTATACATAATAATATTATCTCGTTTAATGGTCTTTCGTATTTCTCTTCTATGGCCTAAGAGGTCAATAAAAAGAGGTTAGAATCATGGGCATTTTCAATTCTTACGAGTTATGTTGATGCTGAAATCATAGCAGTACACAAATATTCGTTCTCCTCTTCTAGTTCTTTTTATGTACATTTGTTGAATAGTGGTTATCAAGTTTTGTCCGTACGGAACTGCGTTAGATTTGTGTCTTATTCGATCTTGTTAATTTAATATAATTTCCACCGATTAAAATTTATCATGCTTTCGTCCAATTCTGACGATTTGCTTGTTGAGGGTAAGTCTACCAGTTTACAGAGTACCTTGAATGGTTGTTTACTGTAGGTTATAGCGATCTACTGTACTATTATCTAGGTATATTGTTTTAATAGTAGGCACTCATTAGACTAAAAATAAAGAGTTTAACATGCCATTGAATATTTATATCATTCAAACCTATTAAGTAATTTGTTAGAAACCTAATTAAAATGTGAATTTTTTAGTTACTTAACTTGAAGAGTAGGTTTTACAATGAACTAACCTATAAAAAAAAAAAAAATAAATAGTCCTTTTCAACTTAAATTCCTATTTTTAAATTTCTGCGCGATGGTTCAAATAACATAATTTTGAGTTACATTATGCTCTATATTATAATGTGCAAAATATATAAAAGCACAATAGCATTTTTTGTTTAATTTGTATGTGTAAGAATCAAATATTTCATTTTTTATTTTTGCTTATTATAACTTTGATGTTAATTGATTTTAGAAAAATCATTTGATTGTAATAAGTATCTTCCTATAAGAAATGCAGAAGAAGTGGTACCTAAAGATTTTTTTCATCATGTAAGTACTGATCTACAGTATGAAAAAATAAGTAGGTACTTAAGTTACATATTTTGTGATAAAATACAGTTTTATCTACAGATTTGTAAGAGTGAAATGAATGGAATCGAATTGGGTTCAGTGGTGGAGATTGAAAACGAAGATAAAAGTGGTTATTGGTTTGCTAGTGTATCTTTATCTAAAGGTGTTTTAATAAAGTATGTAATAAACTTATATTTTAATAATATATAGATAAGTAATACACTTTGTTTAAGTTTGCATTATTTTGGTGATGACAATGATGAACACGACTTTTGGATAAAAGTAAACTCATCACGGATTCATTCTTTAAACTTGGGGAGTGAAAATAATAAAAAACTGATACCTCCTCATCCTCAGAGAGGTTCACTTTTAACTCCAGAAGGTTTTAAAGAAAAAGTTCAAGATTGCGGTCATGCTGTATCAAACATTGTATTACAAATGGTATATCTTTGTATTTTATTAATTGTACACATTCAAAACAACTTTAATAATGTCAATATTAAAATAACATATATTTACATGTATTTATACTTCAGATAGGTGCCCCAATTCATAATATATTTAAGCGTGGCATGTTTGTAGAAGTTCAAGATAAAGAATACCCTTATCATGTTTGGATTTCCAAAGTACCTAAAATACATTTCATAATATTAATATTTTTTTCTGTTTCTTAAATGTATTTATTACACACTTAACATTGTCAACACTAAATATTTTATTATTTTTAATTGAATATTTATTTATTTTTAGGTGCTTAAAAATGTGGGAGGAAGGTTATTTTTACAAATACAAGGAACAAAAAGCTCCGAGGGGAAACCATTTTGGTTATTTTATTCAAATGATAGTGTTTTTCCTTTAGGATGGGCAGAAGAAAAAGGTATTAAATAATATATAGAAATCTCACTTTAAATAATTGGCTTTGTCTTATGTTTAGGACTTCCATGGAGAGTGATGAATTTAGATGCTAATTTTAAAAAGTCTACTAATTCTAGTGGACTACTGAATGTGTTAGAGGTATACAACTATATTTATAAATTGATTTAAGTTAAAAAATTATCATTTTAATCAAAATAATAATAGTTTTAAATACTAGTAATATTAAATTTACAACAGGTAGGTACCATATTATAGGTGCAATATTTCTTCTTTAAAAGTATTATATTTCCTTGATTTGAAAATTCCTGAAAATGACTTATTTTTATGCTAATTTTTCTTCTTTCTCGTATCAGCTACCTAATCAAATTTTTTTTAAACCAGTAGTACCTAGATTATAGATTAAGGGTCTCGTTATTTGGTTCTGTAAAAATCATTTCTTTCGCATCTTCCTTGTCACATAATTTGTTGACTTTTTTTATAATTTTTTTATTTATATTTCTAGGGTAAGATCCCAGAACAACATGGTTATAAAGTTGGAGAAATGTTGGAAGTAATAAATCCTTATTCATTGATGGAATTTTATACTGCTACTATTGTTAAGGTCTATGATCATCGTTATTTTAAAGTTGAAGTAGATATTGAAATTTATGTAGAAAAACGTATCAGTTTTGTGGCTACAAAAGAAAATCCTTATTTATTTAATGCAGGTTAAAAAATAAATTTCTAAATAATAGGCTTTATATATAGATATTCATTACAATACAATTGTTTCAGGTTGGGCAAACAAACACAAATTCTTACTAAATCCTCCATCTGATTGGAAAAAACTCACCAAATTCTCTTGGTCGAAATATATCTTAATGAAGAAATTAAAATTAGCTTCTGTAGATATTTTGTGCAGGAAAAATATTAACCATGTTCATACAGGTATGAAACTAGAAGCTGTTGATCCTCTGAATACTGATAGTATTCGTGTAGCTACAGTTAAAGGATTTGCTGATCATTGGATGTTTTTGTCTTTTGATAGCACGAGTTGGTAATACATATTTTGATAAATATAAATTTAATATAAATTGCTTTCTTAATTATTTATTCAATGAATTTAGTCGTCAAGAATTATTACATGTGCGTTCAGTTTATTCAGATGAGGTTTTTCCCATTGGTTGGTGCAATAAACACAAATATTTTTCTAGTGCTCCAAAGCTTCCATATAGGTAATGATTCTAATGAATTTGAACATTGTTATTATTCATCAGATGTTGATATTGATTTAAGTCAATCTGAGCAAGACAATTTAGCAAAATGTTCTCGTTTTTTAAAAAGAGAATTTTATTATCATTTTAGCAAAATTATTAGTGGTTACCTGTATTTGTTATTATTAATTTATTAATTTTAACTTTTTATTTTAGAAATTATCCGAGTTTGAATGGCGGTTTGGAAAAATCACTCAAAATAAGTAATGATGAAAAAAAATCTCCTATTCCAAAAACAGGTAATAAAAGAATAGATATAACTGAACAAATTGTTAATGTTAAAGTAAAGGCACCTGAAATAAATGAAGAATTGCTATTGTATTTTTTACACAAAAAAAATGTTGATATTGGTATTAATAATATTAAAAAAATAATTACCATTAATTTTTTAATATCAAACTTACTCGATTAAAAAAAATTAAAATACTTAAAAAATAACAGAACAGTACAATAACCATGTAATTAAAATGTTGAATTTTTTTAGCAAATAAATGACTACTTTTTGTTAAATAATTAGTTTCTAAACTGTCAGTTACAATTAAATACCTAATATCTTACTAGTCTATGAATTTGAGTATTTAAAGTTAAGATGAGTAGAGTGGAATGATACACAGTTATACTGCAAATGTTGGTCCACTATTTCACTAATCTAAACTTTGAATATCTACTTATAAGTAACCAGGCGTGAGAGTGGTGAGACTTATAGCATTTAATTATTTTTATCGTTTGACATAAAATCTAGCAGAGTGCTAGAGTGCAAAGAATAATAAAAAAGTTTAAATGTTTTCAATAACCCAAAGAGGCTAAAAAATAAAATATTTAGAGTGATGAATGTATTTATTTTACAATGATGTGTACTTTTATATTTATTTATTTATTAATTTGTTGTGTCTGCCATCACAATTTCTTGCAGTAAAAGTATTTTGATTTTATTCAACAGCAAATTTTCTGGTAGAAAAGTGAATCTAGTTGGTGCATTCGGGAGGTCAAAATTTAAAATTCCCAATAGTATTCAAAAGCAACAAAAAAAAAAATTTGAAAATTAAAAAAAAAAGTTGAGCGTGAATCCACAATAATTGTTTAGGAAGCGTTTAAACTTAGAATTTAGACCAAATTTGTAAAAATCACGAAAATTATACTTAGTTAGAAATTCATAAAAATGTTTCTATTTACATCTAAGATTTAAACATTAAATACAAGATTCTTTACAAGTTTGTTTGCCTTTATCAAAAAAAAAAATTTCTACGGAAAGTCAAATACATTTTTTATGAGTTTGAAGCTGAAATTTTTACAACATTGGATATTCACTCGATTTCTCTAGTAACGGTTTTCTTATTTTGTTGTTATTCAAAAATGAATTACTATAGACACTTGAAATTTACACCTAATGTTTATTTCATCAATTCATATACTTGATAAAATTTTCAAAATATTCTGACTCGTAATAGGATAAAAAATGTGTTGATCTTTAGTTTTTGTCCTATTTTTTTGTTGATTATTTTAATATTTTTAAGTCTTTCTTTTAAGAACATATAATGGAGTATTTAAGCACTTTTTTGGCGATAATAAGTGCTAAGTCCTGAATCCTGGTTATAAGTTATAACTCTTAAAATACTATTCCTAAATTTGATATTTATGCATCAAAATACATACTCAGAAAAATTTTCTGCTTTCAAAAATTACATTATCACTGTATGTTCTCATTTAAAAAAGTAAAAAAGTAAAAATACTTATTTAAAAAAATGTTTAAAAATATAATTTTTCTAAAATAAACTTTATCTTGTAACAACTTGAAATTCTGTAAAAAATCATTAATACGTTTGAAAATAATAGGTGGTTCAAATCTCAAGATAAAAGAATCACCTAGTATATGGGGTTATATATATTTTAATTAACTAATTTAAGTATGTTTATAGTTTTGCAGTTCAAATCTAAGATGAAAACTATGCCTATTAGTAAAAAATCCTTAAAAAAAAAGAACAAATCTAATATTTCTATAAGTTCTAAATGTTTTAAAAAACGTCCAGTGACATATTTAGAAATTGATAAAGTTGGTGAGTATTATTCTACAGTTGAATATTTTATTTATTACTTTTTAAATTTAAATTTTAACCAATCAATATTTAATATGAAATAATAATAGTGTTTTGAATTTTTGTTTTTATAAAATATTTATAGCTGAAAAAGTGTTAGATTGGTCAAATGAACCTTTAGTTGCAAAGTATAAGAATTATTTAGCAAAAATAATTAGTTTAGATGCACACATTATTCAATTAAACCAGAGTAATACTGAACTGGAATCATCAGTTATAGCTGAAATTATATCAAGAAAAAATGATCTTAGGAGGATGGACCATATGAGTATTTTCAGCAATACTAAATCTAAAGTTGAAACCACTGAAGAAAAACAGTTCATTGTTTTGGACAATTGGTACAATTTATGTCATCCAATATTGCGGTCTACCAATGAATGTAGTCTACCATGATAAAAGTTACAGTATAGCTAGAAATATGCTGCCTAGGTACCTAAATTTTATAGAAAAAAAAATGTATCTAATTTAGGAATAAAAAAAGCCGTTATGAATTATTTACAAAACATAATTTCATATCTTTTAAGAATGTTCAAAAATATTAACATTTTTATTTGCCTCGCCACCAGTAGTTGGCTAAGAACCTCTTATAAGGCTTCATTCCTATGACCCATTTTCTTTACTTTTAATTAATGGTTTTGGTTTTATTGATGATACACACTAGGAAATACAAAGATAAAATGGTAAAAATTTCAATGCGATCATTTTATCTATGGTAGAAGATAAAACGTTAGTAGACTGTTCGTTAGTAGACCTATACTAATATTATGACTATTATATTACTCTATATATTATGTTAGGTAGTACACACAACTAAGGAATACCGCATATTGGGAGATAGTCATTTTTTATTATTAACATACTTTATTAGTTTCAGCAAAGTAATGATGATTTAAAAATTGTTTCTAGGAAAACAACTTTTGAAAACTATTATCGTCAAAATCTAAGATTTAAGGGACATAATATTGATATAGGACAATTAGAACACATTGAGATCACGTCAAATCCAAAACATTGGTCTCCTCAAGACGTTTATGAGTATTTGATTAATGATATATTTTGTAGAGATATTGCTTTGAAATTATATTCTGAGGTAAATAATATTAAATAATACCTAATGGTGGTCAAACGGGTGTGATGAGGGGATAGATCTCTTGTTACCTTTTTACAATATTAATTATTATATATTATTTATAATAAAATATCAATAACTTAAGTATAAGACGATAAACCTAAATTTTATTTTTAATGATCAAAATTGAATACCCAGTGTAAATTATAATACAAATAATTTAAGAAAGCCCCCCTCCCCCTGCACCATGACATTGTTATTTGACCATCACCACGGATTTATAAAATATAAATACTTGTGTCTGAATACTAATCTATATTCATGACCAGTGAGTGGCAGTGACCACCACTAATAAATAATAGTACCTATTATAACTGTTATAATTTATTTATTTTAATTTTCAATCATTTTATTATTAGGAATTTGATGGTGTAGCGTTTATGCTATTAAATGAAGAACAACTTTTAAAGTATTTATCGGTTTCAATAAATTTAGCAATAAGAATCATGTGTCATGTAGCTGAAGCCAAATTAATTTGTTTAACAAAATATTGTAACGAAGCAGTAAGTATTTAAATTGTGTTTTAAATTTGTTGTACATTTTAATTTAATTAAATAATATTAAGAAGACTCCACAGTGCTACACGGGCATTTGTTGTCTCCGTTTTACGAACGTACAACACAGCAAATTGTATACGTTTGTTTTATACGTTCGTTCACAATAATACATTTTACTCTGTAATTTCTAAAATTAGAGTTAATTTATCTCATATACAATTTGAGGGCAAGAATATTACCTACAGCATATCGTAGGATTTTATCGATATTTTTATTATTAAGTAAGTTATGACCATTTTAAAATTATACCTACATTTCGTAAAATTTTCCGTGTTGTACGTTTGTAAAAGGGTAACAAATTTCCGTGTGACATATTTTTTAAATTAGATGGTAATTAATGCTTATAGCCTTATAGGCATATAAAAATGCAATGTCTCATTATATATACTTTCAGTTCAAGAATTTAATAATTTTGTTTTTACGAAGAACTATAAAATGAAACAAATAAATATATAAAATTGGGAAACAAATAAAAATTCATCATAAAACATTATAACTGTATAATGTTTTATATATTTGTTATATTTATAGAAACACATGTTTAATATGTTGTTATTTAATTTGTTGGATATGAAATTTAATATATATACATATTTTTTTTTACAGGATTCTTAGATACCTACTCAGTAAAAATTGTCAAATTATAACATCTCTTTTTTTTTTTTTAATATTGGTTTTCAAATAGTTATAGATTAGAACTTATCAATGATCAAAATTACTATTATTATTTTTGAGGTATATAGTATGTTTGTTATTATACTACCTATCTAATTAATTATAAAAATTATTTTTCATTATTTTTTTTTATAGTACCTAATTGTATACCAATAGTTAATATTTTTTATTCTAACATTTAATTATTTTACTTTTGAAAAGTACACAGCTGTGTTTGTATAATTATTTAGGATTTATTTTATACTGTATTTTAGTTATAAATTATTGTGTTAAGTAAAATATGTACGAATTAAATCTAAAAATAAAATAATAAAGACCTTGTTCTCTTTCCATGTAATATTTCATATTATGTTTAATACATAAACAATGTAACTTAAAGTTGGTAACACATTGCTTACAGCTAATGATGGATTGATAAATTGACAAATTTAACAAGTCCAAATCTATTCAATATTAGTGATGGTTAAGTTATTTTTAAAAAGTTATTTTAGCTCTGTGCTTTTTATAGACATTTAAAATGTTCTACTTTTTTACAATTTATGGAGGGTTAAATTTTTATTTGTGAAAAAAAAAACCTTAAAAAATTGACCTAAAATAAGATTCCAAGTAAATTGTTGTTGCTACATATTGCTACATATACAAAATACAAATTATCTAAAATATGTGGTCAGAACATTTTTTTTACAACTACTCAAAGTAAATTTTTTTACAAAACTCATCAAAATAACGAAATCTTTTATTTTAGATTCTGAGCGTAATAAGGAATTAATGTTTTACATTTGAATTTTTTGGGTAGTAAAAGTGCTCCAATTTTAAATTCAATCTGAATATCTGATAGAAAAGTGAATTTAGTTGGTACTTTTGAGAGGTAAAAATTTAAAATTCCCAGAAGTTATAGAAAACGTCTTGAAAAAATAAATAAAAAAATGGTAATTTTTACGCAAAACGCATTTTTGAAAAATCGATTTTATGTTTTTGGTGGAACTCAAAAACTAACAACTGTATATACTTGAAAATTTGAAATGTTTGACATATATTAATTATATTAGCATTTTCTATATAATATGTCAACATATATTAATTTTAATTATAGTACCTATTTAATTTTTCGAATTTTGTAAATTGTCGATAAAAACTTTTTCACTAGGTAAGTAAAAAACTTGAAAATTTTAGAAATCCTCATAAGATGCTTAATAGCTGATCAAAAATATTAGATACACAGGTATGACTTTTTTCTATACTCTTTTAAATTTCAAATTTCGTCAAAATTCAATAAAATACCAAAAATTGATTATTTTTCACTTAAGAATTTATAAACGTTTTTCTTTTCATAGCATAAGGAATTTTAATAAAATATTCCCCGCAATTTTTTCTACCCTAAACAAAAAAAAAAAATTTACCGAAAAGTACCTAACATAATACATTTTTTTATGAGCGTTTGAATTAAAAATGTTTACATTATTGGATAAAAATACCCGTAGTAAATTAACGAATTGCCATCAATCGATTTTTAATATTTTTTTGTTATTCCATAACCTAATGAAATTTTTATCAAATATTTACATCTAAATACATATTAGCATTTCCCATGTATAGTAAAATATTTAAACTATTTTTTCTCTTTTTTAGCTATTTATACCGATACTACATTTTTTTAATGTTGTAATTTATTTTTCAGTTAGAAATTTCTAAAAGTTTTTCTTTTTGTGAACAAAACCGTTTTCTACAAAAAAAAAGTTCACCGGAAAGTTACGCTTACAGTCATGACTCATGGGATGTTTTCGATTTGTTAACTATTAAATATATATTTGATTATTTATACGAGTATGGTAGAATTACACGGCTCAGAATCGTTTTTCCTATGCAATGATTTATTATTGAATTAAAATATAACACTAACACATCCATTACGGCAGGCTCGATTACTGCTAGTAGGTAACTACCGTATATCTATCACTTGTCCGCCTTTTTTAATTCAAAAAGTGTTATATTTTTAATTTTATCACTAGGTTGGATACCTACATAATATTTGAAAATGTGAACAATATACAAGATTTCTCATAAGTTTCCTAACTGGAAATAAAAAAAAATTAAATTTAGTAACAATTAATTTTAGTGAGTTATTGAATTTTCAAAATCCATGGCTATTTATAAGCATTTAAAATTTTAAACTTATTAATTTTCTTTGTTGAAGACCTTGAATATTTTACGGTCATTTTATGATGAACTTTACATATTGTTTCATATTTGATAAAATATAAACTTAATAAATGATAATAGTATCATAGCTCACACCGGTCATGGTTCAAGCACATTTATTCTGTGGTTCGTGGAGTTGTGATTATAGATAAACCATAGTGAATAGTGATAACAAAACGATAAAAAATGTCTAATATGTAATCGAAAGTGAAACAAAAATGAGTAATGACTACAATTATAGAATTATGATGATCTCTATTCACTATTTCACTGTGGTCTATGACTCAGTCCACTGACTACTACTAGTATTTAATCGAGTTACTTTCAACATTAAGAATAACTTATTATAATTAAACAAACATTAAATCCGACCAGATTAGAATTGCATGTCGTTATTTATTGTCATTGGCAACTTAAATTTATAACTTTTTGAAAAATAAAAAATTCCCTTAAATGCTTAACTATGTTTTTGGATAATAAAAATATAATATTGCTGTCAACTGGATCCTTCAACCCACCAACAAATATGCATTTGCGGATGTTTGGTAAAATATGTTATTATTTGTTTTTGTAGAAACTGTGAAATTATTTTTTATATGATGTTGCTTAGAAATTGCTCGAGATCATTTAAATCGTTTGGGACATACAATTTGCGGGGGTTTAATATCACCTACTCATGATTCGTATAAAAAGAAAGATCTAGCACCATCCTCCCATAGGTGTGCAATGATCGAGCAAGCTCTTGTTGCATTACCTTGGGTGAAGATGTCTGATTGGGAAGTAAAACAAAACGGTTGGACGAAAACAAGACAAGTACTACAATATCACCAGGTAAATATTCATCCATTTATTTGTTTTTATAAATTTTGATTCATCTCTTATAATATTACAGAATCATCTCAATATGCTAATCACTTCTAGACTAAATGGTGCAATAAAAGTTGATAATTCATTATTCCCAGTCCAATTTATTGAAAATCTTAATATCAATGATTCAAATCAAAACAGAGCAGTGAATGTAAGGCTTTTGTGTGGTGCTGATTTATTAGAATCTTTTGCTGTTCCAGGCTTATGGAATGATGATGATGTACGTATATTATTATTTATTGTAGACACTAGAACTTTATACTGTACGTTTCATATGGTACAGAATTTAATTAATGCATTCACTAGTAATATTTTATTTGAAAACATAACAATAATGAATAAAATGTGTTGTTTATAGATAGAAGCTATTGTTCGAGATTATGGTCTGGTTGTTGTTAGTCGTTCAGGATCCAATCCTCATAAATTTATTTATGAATCTAATGTTTTAACCAAATATATGGTAATCTAGTATATTAATGTTTATACACTTATTTATAACTATCTTTGTATAATATGAATATTCCTACTGTTCTAGGCAAACATAATTGTTGTAACTGAATGGATAACAAATGAAGTTAGCTCGACAAAAGTACGAAGAGCATTATCACGCAATGAAAGTGTAAAATTTCTTATTAGCGAGTTGGTTGAATCTTATATCAAAGAACATGGTCTTTATGAAACTTTAAATAAGTAAGTAAAATCAAAACTATATATTTTAGAGGGTGATTCTTTTCACAGTTAACACTCATTAACAAGAAAAGTATTATAATTTTTGAAAATATTTTAACTAAAACCATAACAAACAAATATTTTTGGAAAAAATTATGTTTTACAATTTTTATCACTACATTTTTATGATTTTTCATATTTGGAAAAACTTGAAATTATGTAAAAAATAATCATTTAAAAATAATGGTTTATTATTTGTCGTAGTACCCCCGCTGGGAGGCCTCTACATTCGGTCTAATCTGTCGTTATTTATTTTTATTTTCTTTTTTCTTTTAACTAATTCATCAATTGTTCTTATTGTTCTATTTTATATTGTAACAGATTGAATAAAAAATCCTTTAATAACAAAAAAATAAATAAATAAATAATGAGCAGGTTTACTGTTGAAAAAATCACCCAGTGTAGCTAGTGACCCATGTTACCTATTTGTTTAACACACATTTTTATGTTATTATTTGCTGCTAATTGATGAATGGGAACAGTAAGTACTCAACTAATGATATATTGGATATAAACTCGAAAAGTGTTTTTTTGTCACCCTCTCCTAGCAATAAGGCTCTTAAAACATATAAAATGGATGACAAAAAACTTAATATTGATGAACCTGATAGTCAACCGTGCACTGAAAAAAGAGCTGTTAATTGTGAAAAAACAAAGGTAAGAAATGTAGCCGAAAGTAAAGAAAACTTCACTAGGGTTGCCATTCAAGTATCTGAAAGTGGTATTATCGAAGTTATAAGTGACATGGAAACTATGGTTTGACATTAAATTTTCCATGTTTAGAAACAATGTGCCAAAATTACTTTATTTATTTTTTGTAGTAATATTGTGATTTTATTGTTAATAATTGATTTTTGTTAGTTTATTCTTCCATTTATACTGTGATTTTAGATTTAATTACTAAATTTAGGTATTAGGTTATTTTAAAAATTAATACTGACATTTATTAATTATAGGTAAACTTTTATACTTTTGAGTGTGATTAGTGATTTTATATTTTTATGGCTGATTTAATTATAATAAAATATTATTAGATTACATTTAGTTCACGTTAAACTATATTTTATCTATATAATATTAAACAATAGTTCATTAGATGTTTCAAAAAAGTAAATTTATCAATAATTTATCACCTTTAAGATTTCTAAAATAGATACTTGAAGCTTTTTAGTATCTAAAGAACAAAATATGATTTCAAACCTAAATAATATTTTATGATCCAGAATTTTAAATCAGTTCAAATATATTATAATGAATATAATGACGTTAAAAAAATTAAAATATCTATGCAAAACAAAAAAATATTCAATATGCTATATTAGCATACATTGATATATGATTATTTCTCACTAAATATATTCATCATACACTGTCAATTTAAAATATAATTATTATATTTATTAAAATCCAAACTTGTCAATTATAAATTAATTTTTGTTTTGAACCAATAAGTATTAATACTTTGTTATAAAGACACTTTAGAATTCCTGTAATTCAATCTTCAATCCCAAAGAAATTTTAATATTTTATAACCAATCATCTACCTAATTTTTAAAATAAATTATAATCATTTTAACTCATTTAAATGTAAGTATTTAAATAAAAATGTTGACCACTAGTATGGTTTATATTGTTTGTTGTCTTAATAATTTTAAATTAATATCTATAACTGTAAATACTTATTGATTTTACTTTTAAAGTTGGGTTTCTTATTTAAAAATATATTTACTAGAAAGTTTGCAAGATAAATGCCAATTGGTGGTAACGTTTCACAATTTATTTTGCAATAGTACAATTTTATGATTTATGATCATTAATGAAAATTTAAGTTCACAGAGAAAATGACTACAGCATGTTAAAAATAAAATCTCCCAAATGGATGTTTCTATTTTATCTATATTAACACAGAAATAACAGCTTTCACTTAAAGGGATAAACCGATAAAAAAAATTGAAATAAGATTTTTCGTTTTTAAAATAATGTTTGTCATCTTTTACGTCATGGTATATACAAAGTAAATAAACAAGTTTGAGTATAACTGAAAGTGTATAAAATATAACCTAGTCATTCAATTGTATGTTTATATAATTATTTATTTTATACCCACTGAATAATTACTGCCTAGGTCAAATTAATTAAGATATTCTCAAAATCAAATTATAATTTGTATTTATCATTTAATAGGTGACAAATCTTTTTTTGTTTTTAAGTTGTATTTAATGACCTATACACATACCTAACTCTTTGGTGATATTAATTACTTTACTCGTGTTTCATAATTAAAAAAAATAATATTGAATTATTATATAAAATTGAAAATCTTTTCAATGTTGTCATATATATTTATTTAGTGACATTTTAACATACTACTTCTTATGGTTATTAATTTTTATTCATGGATGTATTTGTTTAATGGGAGTTTCAACCTGATAAAAATATCTTTTTTTCTCCCCCTCAAAAATTATTTTAGCTACATTCTTGTTCTTGGTTATGATTTAATATAATTGTAAGAAAATCATTTGTATTAATTTAATGTTTATTAATTTATACGTTGATAGAATTGTATCAAAGTTATTATCTATCATGTTTTTAAGATTTTAAAATGTATAGGAAGAATAATTATGAAAGTTATAAATTTTGTAGAATGGTCATGACCCATGAGCCAAGAGTTTTTTTTTTTTATATATACAATGATTTGGTATGTGTTTATATAATTATAAACAAGTAGATTGTATCCAAAGTGGGGATTATTTTTTTTTAATGATTCATGTATTCATCAATAAAAATAAAAATACTGGTACTAATTGAATTATTGAATGATTTAACATTGTAATAATATTTACAGCCAAACTATGAAAAAAATATGTTAGCAATTGCTATTTTAATTTTAAATATATTACACTAGTAATTGTATAGTATAGATCAATGGAATTTCAATTGAAAATAAAATTGGAAATTTTAGAAATTAATATTTCATTTTTAAAAACTAATCAAATGCATGATGTTTTGTTTATTTTAAATCAAATTGATCATGTCCAACATTTTCTTCTGCATGTTATTTCTGGCAAATGTAAATACATATTTTGACTTTTAATCTAATTATTGTTCAGTACTTGTTTGGTTTTTTATTTCTAAGTAAGCAATTTTTATCATACTATTACAAAACTATTTAGGGAGGTATTCAGTAGAAGCTTTTGTTTTTAGGTTGTAGATTTTGAAATTATTATTTTAAATGAACTAATATAGTAATTTATACTTAAAAGTTAAAAGTTAAAATATATATTATAAACTATACATTAAGAAAAAAGATTCTTTACAAAAAACAGTAAAACTAATAAATTCTTTGTTTAGCTCAAAGTCTAATTGAATAAATTAAGTACTTTTTTTATCCTTTTTGTATAACTCTAGGGAAGCCGTTAAACATTCAACTATACAAAAAAATAAAAATGTAATCAGTACAATAGGTGCCCTGTTCACTTATCATATTTGACACTCAGATCTGCATGTAAATACCATCTCCAAAATAGCATCCACCCATTATAAATGTTTATGATCTCGCTTAGTCAATCATCTGAATCTTCTCAATAGGCTTATTTGCCTAGATACTTAATGTACTATTGACAATTCAGAGACTTTTTAAAATGTACATTAATTTATCATTAAGTTTTTAAAAAAGTGCACTGCAGGATGACATTGTTTATTCTGTTCTATATCAAGTCGATTTTGTAGCTATAACTGCCAGAATATACATATTTATTGAACAAATTTAATATTTATTGATTGCATACCTACCTAGGGCACCTAGGCAGCTTTACAATCTACCTAACTAAAAATTATTATTTCTTTTATTTTAAGTGTTTTATTTTTAAGTTAAATAATTATCAGTAAGTATTAGTTTTAACTTTTAAGCATGTCATTATTTGTTTCAGGTGAAAAGAAAGAAAAAACGCTATCAGTAAATCAGATACTCTGTTTAGAAATGTAGTAGTCAATTGTTTTGTTGTTACTAATTGTTTTCTATTAGTTTAAATTTAAAATAGTTGCATGAAGATTGCTGCTATGATTTTGCCTGTTTCTATTATTAGTGTTATGATGTATGAGTAGGTATGGTGTTTAAAATGTCTATATGTACTTACATTATTTGTTATTTAATAAATTATTTTCAGTGTTATTTTTTTATTATTTAATATTATATTTTTACTGTTAATTGTATTATCTATGTTGTATCTTACCTTTAAAATGTAAGTATGTTTCTATTATAATTTGTAGATTTTCCTAAATAATAAATCAATTTATTGTAATGCTATAAATATTTTTTTAACATTTTTTTTAAAATTACATGAAAATAAAAATATTAAATGTTCAATTATAAATTAACAAATTATTTACACTTTTACTACCTATATAAATATAAGATCTTTAATTAGGTAAGTAAGTGTATCAAAATGAACACACAATTTTGGTATATAATTTAATAGTTATAACTTATAATAGTAAAGTAAGTACCTACTACAGAATTAGCTACTAGCCAGTTGGTAGTTACCTTCTAGAATTGTGTTAAGTTGTGTGTTTATTAGACAACTAGTTTAAAGAAATTTTATTTCTGAAAAAAATGTAAAATGAGAGCATTCAAATTTTATAATTTCTAATATTTAATAGGTATGTTGTTTTTAAATAAAAATAAAAAATATTGGATAAAAATTGATTCAATATTATTTCTTAAAGGACAAATTTGTGTGCAATAAGGTATCAATAAAAATAAACAAAGCTCAAAGCACATAATGAATGTCTACAGTTAAATAATATTATAGATCTCCAAACTATTTGGGTCTATTGAATTTGTCAAACTGTCTCTCTGAATTGTATTTATTTTTTGTATGATATATTTAATTTAGATTTTGAAAATGATCCATAATCTGATATGAGTCAAAATATATTTTTTGAGACATTTTATAATATGTACCTACTCGAGGTACTTGGGCACCTACCTATATATATTATATGAGTGTTTTAAACTGATTTGATTATATTCATATCAATATTATTATTATTGTTAGTATTATTATCATTATGCTGTCAGATGTAGAGGTTAGGTAATAGGTTTATAAGTTTGTGGCAGTTATATTATTATTTATAAAAAGAGCTGTAAATTGTCATGTTTGCAGTCATTGTGAATATAACAATGACTGAAAAATAAAAAAATAATGATTATTTATAGTAAAACTGTGTACTAATGAATTCATCATAATTGACCCACCTCGATAAATAGAGATGAAATAATAAGCATTAAGTAATTATAAGACTAACTAAGTAATTTAAAAATTTTTATATTTCATTTAAATGAATCACGGGAAAAAAATCCTAACTAGTAAAAAGTGAATGAACTAAAAAGGTCTAAAATAAGTTTTTAATTAAATTAATTAGGTAAATAAATAAAAGTATAATAAATTTAATTAATTAATAAGTCAAAAAAGTTATATTAAATACAATAGCTTATAATTATTATAGATAATAAAATAATTAAAAATAATTAATTATTTTTATCTCTCCTTTTTCTTATGTTATGACTTATGACTTACGGACGTCAAAGAATGTCCCACGCCGATTTTGTCCACTTGTATTTGTAAACATACAATTGGTTAATGTTCTTCTACGGTAGGTACCATTTTGTCTTAGTTTTTTTCCTACTACTCGAATCTCCTACATAAGTTAATATTGTTTCATTTGCTGAAATGTCCATTTTTATTTTTCAATAGTTGGATTCTACCATTGATTATAAATACTAGTATTTATAATCAATGATGCTACTATGCTCGTGGACTGTTGCAAATATACACGTACAAACGTTTCACATTAACCTAACCGGTTCTATAAATTTATATAAGAACACCCCCGGGACGGATCGCGGATTGGGCTATCGGTATTAACTGCCAACCGGTGGTCGTCATAATCGCACACTTCTAAAAAAAAGTCGTCGTTCAAAACCGCACACTTAATATACATATACATCAGTTCAGCACAGTGTTCCCAAATAATTATACAGTTCAATACCGCACACGAGACACAACTGATATTCAACAGTAAGTAACGGCGTAAAGCGTCTATTTAGGTATCTAAAATCACATAGGTACCTAATCGTTTAGAAAATTAGAACCGTTCACCAGTGTTATAACATTAACTTATAAGTTATAACTTATAATTATGTTATGTGGTCGAATGTCGCTTCTATACAATTGTTTTACGATTATATTTAATCAAAATAATTACAAAATAATAAAAATTAATAAAATAAAATAAAGCTTTCGGGATTATCTACAGATTTATTCCAGTCAAACAATTTATTTTTTCATATTATATTGTATTGAACTAGGTAGGTAATTGCAAATAAAATAATTTTTAGTTAATAGCTATTGAAATTATAAAATTTTAAATTTAATTATTTTTATGGTGATTTATTTAATATCAATAAATGTGTGTGGTTTTGAATAATCGACCTTCCGAAATTCCATTTTTGACAATAGACAAAATGCGTGGGGTAATGAATGGAGTAGAATGTGCGGTTATGAATGGTAAGTCGTAAGTGTGCGGTTCTGGACGACGTCCCTGTTAACTATAAAACTTAAATGTTGGACAATAAGTTAAATAATATGAACAATAAATATTTATATTATATATTACTATAACGTCTATAATAGTCTAACAGAAACTGAATAGGTAGGTAATAATTAATAAGTAATAACAATAACTCTAATCAAACTGGATAGTAAAACCTAGGTAAAATTGTTAAAAGTTGTTTTCAGTGGCGTACAAAGGGTGGAGGGTTTTCGGGGAGAATTCCCAACCCCAGGACGAAAAAAAATCTTTTGAAATGGTTAGAATGAAAAATATATACGTTATGAAAATTGTAATGTGTGCATAAAATAAAGTATTTGTAAAATACGATGGAATTTCAAAAACTTTAAATTTTTGTTCGAAGAGGTAAGTAGGTATAAGAATAGACATTTTATTATGGACAAAAATTATTTCTGTGTAGATATTAAATATTGTTTATCGTTATTAGTAAATTTTCTTTGTTTTATGGCCTAGCTGTCGCTTGTGGATTTGTTAGTGTGTGTGTCTATTATTGTACCGGCATATCGGCGAAATCGAAATAATAATTTAATTTATAATTTGATTTCTTATTTCCTCTCTTGTTCGTTATAGGTACATTCATTTCTATTACAGGGATTCGATACCGTGGTTTTCCATCTTTGCGGACGCACGGTATAGAATTTTAGACGTGTTATATGCCAAACCTACCGATTGATATATTATAGTGAAGTGATAAGGATTCTGAAAACAGAATTGAATTTGTCGTCAAGTCTACTTGAGATCGACTTTCCCACATTTTTTGGTTTTAACTTCTTTAAAAATTGAAATTTGACAATTCTTTAATACAACGGATTTAGTAATTTGTAGAATAATATAATAATGAAGTCGACCGCAAGTATCGGCTTTACGACAAATTCAAATCGGTTTTTAAAATTTTTATCGCTTCATTAGATGAATTGGTACGTTTGGCGAAAAACACGTCTAAAATCAATCCTACGTCGTGCTAATGTTTGAAAAAGGCGGTAAATCACAGTATCAAATCCTCATAGCCCATTATATACATGATTGTAAGGTCAGAGTGATATTATATCGTACCAATAAGCAATACTGCAATAATAATCTCAAAGGTAAGTCAATTTTATGATTTAATTTGTTTATAGTCTTAAAATCTTAATGCACTTGCAGGTATACACTACCCTGGCGGTCGGTAACCCAAAATTCATTCTTTTTTTTCAAAAGCTTCTCGGATACCCATTGCCACATTTAAACTCCGATAAACAAATCATGTATAATTGAATCCTCTCCCCTCCCATAAGAGGCCAAAAGGCCATAGGAGGACCATAAATCTTGCTTACCTACTCCTATATCACGTTTTTTGACCACGTGGAAAAGGGTCGAAAAATAATAACAAACCAACCGGCCGTAGTTAACGTAAACATACAGTGAATTCATTTTTGTTGTTTCGTAACGAAATTTTAACCACTGCGGTAGCCATGCACTTATTGATCGTCTGATGGGCATAATATGACTAAGCGGTACCTACCGTCTAAATTTATAGCTGCACGTCACGGTATATATTATCATATAATATATCCCTGCAGCCCAATAATAATAATCGGTACGCATATTATACGGAGGGGTAAGTATATTATATGATATATAGATGTATTATATTCATATGCGATTCCGATCGTACGAGTCACGACCCTCGCGTGGGCCAATAGCTTAGCTTAGCGTCCGTCGTCTACGCGCAGGTGACGTATAAATGTATAATAATGTATATAATTGTTATTATATTATATTATATTATGGAATTACGTGGTCGTGGTTACCTACCTCCAGCCGAGTGTGTCGACCGACGGTCGTGGCAGGTGCAGCAGTGCTGCATTATATCATATTATCATAATAATATTATAGGTATAGGTACCTACTACACACATACATAAGAGTCGCGAGCGGGGAAACGGTGGTCTTGCAGTATAGCGTGGTCGTAGAGTGGGGATGGATCCGAGGGACGGAGTGCCACGATTGCTTTTATTGGATTGCTTCAGGCGGTGGTATATAGGTACCTTCCTACCTACCCTCGAACGGCGCTGTTAAGGGGAAGAAAAATAAAAGGAAGGGTTGGGGGTAGCGGAGATAATCGCGTAGGTACCTTTGGTAGGGCTTCGCGTGCAGTTCAACGTCGCCGCCGCCGCTACGACCCCATAATGCATGTATGTGCGGTGCGCGTGTGTATGTCGTACCTGACTATTGTTTTAAGGGTCACCCAAGTCGTCTTGGCGAGCTCTACAAGACATTATGTACATCCGCATCATAAATCATCATGATAATATAAACCATAATATTTTACATTATTAAGTTTACATTGTGTAGTTGTGCGGCTTCGAAAAGACGCGTCTTTTATACGCCTAAGTATTATTGGTACACTTTCCGACTTTAGTAGACAGCCGTGCAGCTCCTCCACGACCTGCCGCGATGTCGTGGCTGCGATGATAACGAGCCGCACATGGTACATACTGTATAGGACTCGTCGTTGTGAATTATTATAATTAGGTACTAACCCAATGGTACCTTCACGCTGTACCTATAATATAATACCCAAGCGGAATATGTTCACGGTCTTGAGGTGATTGCAGGTGTCTTCGGTGGAGTTCGAGCGTTTAGCGGTTTCCGAATAATTGGCTACGCCACAGTCCTGATCTTATAAATGATATAGTATCTACTACCTATATCGTAATATTATTGTCATCGCAAGTGAAAAGTAAGTCATTGATATTATTATTTTTTGTTTATATTTTAGATTTTGAGCGTAGCTATGAATTTTTTATTGTTTTTTTTGAGGGGGACATGTGTACAGTGTACATGATATGTAATTTATAAAGAGGTTCGATATTCAATTTTGAAAGTGGCCACTTGTAGAAAATTGGATCTAGTTGGTACTTTTGGTAGGTCAAGATGGCAAATTTCAAGTAGGCAGATACTTAGAACCAGGCAAAATCTATTTTCTTATTTTGTCTTTAATCAAAAACAAATAACCTTAGATATCTGAAATTTTAACCAAATGTTTGTACTAACATTTTCTATACATGGTATAATTTTTAAAATGAATTGACTCTTTTTGAGCTATTAATAGACATGACACATTTTCGATTTTCTTCCAATGAATGCAAATAAAACAATTTTTGCTTGGTCAAAAAGCTTGAAGTATAGTACAGGTATACAGTTTATTAATCCTTTTAAGTAGTTATTAATGTTATTTCTAAAATAATGATAATACAGGGGCACAATTTAAAAAAAAAAGTATTTGAAGTTTTTGAAGTTTAAAATTCGTCAAATTGTTAATTATTTTGTAACTAAAAATCTATAATAGTTTAAATAATTTAGGCTTTGAAATGTTATACAAAGTTTCTCATCAGTAGCTTAGGTATTCTAAAGACTAAAACCAGTAAATCTAAAAAATATGTAATCATATGCATCTGAAGTTCAAACTACTAAGAATAATAGTTATTTTGCTGCAATTCAAAAATATTATTTGTTTAAATAATTTTGACATGAGGCTTTTACTTATATTACCTTATATATATTTTTTTTACAATGACATTTTCAAAACATTTAAATTTATTTTAAACTATTATCTATGCCCATCTATTTACATTATGATTCATAGTCTATTCAGACCATTTTTTTGTAAGGCATTGACTAAAACTTCAATAACAATTATACATTATATAAATATGTATATAATACTTTAGCAATTTACTATAAGTTATTGATTGTGAATAATTTAATAAATGCAATGCTTTCGTCAAAAATTAAATCAACCAACTGTAAGTAGTAAAATAAATTACTTTAACAACAATATCAAAAAACGTGTATTATGAATAATATAGGAACTTTTTAAATGTAGGCTGGGGACCTATATTTGCTCAAATTCGTTTTTAGCACATTTAATGGGTCATCATTGAATTAAAATTGAACACATACGCATTTCAATAACTTAATCAATGTCGAGGCACATACTCGACATGAGCAACTCTACAACAGATAGAGCGGTTACCTACTTTCTACCTTTTTTCGGGTTTATTTCACCCGTGTAAGAGACTGAGTGTATGTAGAGTTGTATTATTGTGGTCAAGTCTTCTAGCTATTCTATAACTTATTCGGCCATAAATATTTGATTTTATCATCAAAGTTATATATTAATTATAAAAAGCCTATTTTAATTGATATCCAACGTCTTTAACATTACAGTTCCACACTGCAGCGTGCGCTCAGTTTCTTCATCGAACGCGCAGACCCTATATAAAAGCTCATTTCTTAAGATATTTTATTGAAATGTACGACTTGTTTCTTTTGTCACTCATGTTATTTATGGCCGCCTCTCTGCAGATTGGTACGGTATATGGTACCTGTATATATTGTATTTAGATTTTATATACCCATATTATGAAATGTCAAGTCGAAATTTAAATTAATTTAAATACCCGGTAGTACCTATACATCATACTGTGGTTTCATTGATTAAATAAATAGAAAAAAAAACAAAATCATTAGGAGTTATACGACATCAAGTCGTATATGAATTAAATGTATATAGAATAAAATCATGTTCTTAAAAAATTATTATGAAATTGTTAGAAACTAAAGAGTGTTCTGAATTAAAGCGTTATTTGAATCGATATGAAAAAAAATCATTTTGATACCTATTTACGTCTTAAAACATAGTAGGTACGTAGGTGACCAATGACATACACATTTCAAATCAGTTAAGCAAGATCGAGCATAAAAAGTTTTAACATATACCTTTTTAGCAACACGATTGAGCATAGAATATTTTATGTGATGTTGCAATATTTACGTTACCGACATTTTGTAATTTATTATTCTCAAGTAATATTACACTAATTATTTTGATATCAGACTTGAGTCTTGAGCCGAGCCCAGATTTATCGACAATGTTATCGATTAATAAATTAGTTCCGGATCTAATATTCAAGCTTTCAACCAATATTTAAATCGTAAGAATACGGAATCTTTATTAATATATTTAAGTTAACTTGGAAACAGATACCAAGGCATATGAATTTAATTTATTATTATAAATTTCAACTTCACGATAGGTAGTAACCAGAAAGCATGAATATTTTATCATTATTATATCATCAAACAGATCTATATACTATTATAATGTTACTATATTATTGACTATTATTGATTTATAGATATTTTGATTTTATTATTTTCAAAGGCATAACTATAATAATAATAATAATTATTATTATCAAACAGATCTATATAATATTATAACGTGACTATATTATTGACTATGCAATCATGTTATTTTTTTTGACACGTTATATTTTGAATTATTATAATTATATAGTTAAATATTTTTATATAATGCAGTTCAAAATTGAAAATGACAACGTTGCAGAGTTTTTTATGCTCATCTGTGTAGGTTTTCTTTTGTATTCCGATTTCTTTTGATACGCCGACCATTTTGCTCAAACGTGTCTCAAAAAAAGATATTTTATGCTTAATCGCGTCTCAGCCTTTCAAATTAAAAAGATTATTACTAAATGTTTATAGTTTATTCAACATCGCAATGACTGTAATAACTAATAACTGTGCATGTTATTAAAATAATGCAACTATTGTTAATATATTATGATTAAACGACTTATAGTTCGTGCCTAATTGGTAGTCTAGAGTCTAGACAGTACACACAGCAGAGCTTTATTTAGATTAAAAATGTATTATTTATTACTAGTTACTACCTAAGCTACTCAAAAACGATTTTACGGAGATGATATTTTTCAAATTATTAATGGGTAATACGACCTATCTACCGTGCAAAAAATAGAGGTAATGCTCGTTTGCGGTTTTTATGCTTGAGGGGATTCTCTCCATCAAAAATGGTGAGTGGAATATTGTCCATTTACTGCTCATATTTTATAATTATTGCGCCAAAGATTATACTTAATTTTAGTTACATGTATTTTTTTTAGTTTATTATTACGGTGAATTTAGTCTTCATTAAAATTGCTTTTCCTCGTTGGAAATATTATTCGTTTTATACTTTTCTAATATGATTTATGTAGACAGTAGATTTATAACTCAGTGGCGCCGACCCGTGACTTGATCATTTTTTTTACATCAAGATTTGGGACAGACAACCAATAAAAATGCAGATAGTGAATTAAAAAAAAAAACGATTTCAAATATTTACATAACTATCATTGACGCAAATTACAGGGGAGAGCAAGCCCCCTAACAGTCGTATAGCCCAGTGACCAGAACCCAACAAAAATTGAATATTTTACACATTAACATTTTTTGTTGGGTGCTAAGTAGTTAGGGGAGGTTTGCAATACCAGAAAAGACTCTTAAGAGTCCGGCATTTGATCTGAGTTTTAATCCTGCCAAAATCTCAAATACTGTTTGCACCCATATTTATTTAACGGGAGTGGTTTTTTTACATAATGCGTATATTGATACTTAGTAAACTATAAAGATAAAATAAAGTACCTACATGTATAATATTTCTGTACATGTTTAAAATATATTTCTAGAACTCGAGAGCGTTTGCAAAGCACATACAAGTCTGTTGAAGATGTTCGATTATTGGGTTTAAAAAGTTGTATACCAATCTGATAACATACTGTGCGTTATAAAACTGCAGATAGTCTTGCAAAATGTAAGGCAAGCTTATAGGTAGCGGTATAATGTCGTGATGGGATGTCCAAATATTTGCATACACACCTACCTAGATACTTACCTATAATGTCGGGAAAACCCTAATTATAACCACACGGACTTAGTCGAAACTCGAAACAGCTATGGTAATAGGCAATAGCTAATATGATATTAAGTCGTTTGGCCGCTAACACTAGCTATACACACTATATGGTACGAAATGGCTGAGACAGGGTAACGCCTATATAATATGATACACACTGTGTCTTAACTAGTGCCATTATCATTAAGTATACGGAGTAGATTTTATATACCTATGTATGACTATTTGAACTAAAATATGTTAGTTGAGAAAGCGTGTTAGGGTTGCAGTAAGTAATTACATTTGTTTTTAAGTGACCGTGATGTATATAAGAGCCGCGCTGAAAATTCGCCGTGGGAAAATTTCCGCCCGAGTCCGATACAATAACGATATAATATAATAGGTGTCCCATGAAGATTTATTAATAAGTGTTGAGAGCATATATATTATACTCCTCAGTCTATACAAAACTATAACACATTGCCTTTTCCCATTGAATTAGTAAATCTTCACGGGTTATCTTGAGTATACATTACAAAGTGTGTTTACTGGAAAAGAAGGAGAGGCATTTATTTTCAACTACCTACCTAGTAATTTTCCCACTAATCACTATAAACTCTATTTTCTAGTTTTTCCACTATTTTTTCCGAATTTCTATTATACATACTAACTTTCTTACCTACTTACTTACACGCGCATCAATCACTATCATAATATATTTTAATGATTATAATAAAGACCTCTATTAAATTGGATTTAAAAATATAAATTTCCTAAGGAAATATCAAATATAATATCTTATATATGTCTTTGTGTATAATAATAAACGAGTTTTAAACCCTTTAGCCAAATTCAATAAATGTGAGTACAGTTTCAGCTTATTTTATAGTATATTGTATATATATACCTAGATAAAAATTTAAAAGAGTAAAATTAGTAAGTATGAAAATAGTAAACGGCGAAATAAAGAATAAATTATATAATAAAAGTATAAATTGTTAAATTAACAATAAATAGTTATAATAGAACCAAGAGGTGCATAATAATTAAACAAGTAAATTTAAGGCCGTATAAACTTTCTGCCTAAATACATAACGCAACATACCAAAAAAATTAATATGATCCTTTATACAGTTCGCCAAAGACAGAGCTCTTGGGAAAATCTAGGAGGAATTATGGAATTATGGAAGTATATTTGTTTTTACAAAGTGAAACATGAAATAAATTGGATTTTCTTAATCCATGAGTTTGTATATTAAAACCAATGAGAGATAATAATTTTGGAGAATAAATAAGACCATTTCATAATAGTCATATATAAAAACATAATATCCGCAACATTTCTCTTTAAGTCACATAAGACGATCCCCAATTGGGTAATCTGTACATTATATGAATCTCTTGAAATGAATATATTTAATCTAAAACATGATAGCTTTAAACATTTATACCAAACATTTTCAATAAGACTAGTATGTGAAAAATAGTGAGGTAACCAGACATTATTGGTCTAATTCAAGATGAGACCTAGCCAGGGAAAAATATAATGTTATCAATGTTTCGGTATTTTCAAAATTAATCGTGCTATTAGTAAATCCTAGCATCTTGAAAACTTTTTTAATAAAGGTGTTAGTATGGACGGAAAAATCAAAATTTAAATTAAAGATAAGTCTCTAATGGAATAGTAACTCGTGTAACATTATAATTATCAATCATACAATATTGTGGGTATGTGGGTAATTAAATTATTTATACGAGAGAACGTTCTAAAGCTACACTTATTTGTATTTAATGGTATGTGATTAACACGATTCCAATCAACAAATTTATCCAAATTTGATTTTAATTTTAATGCATTATTTGGTGATTTAATAACTGAAAATAATTTAGAATCATTGGCAAATAAAAGAATATCAATTAATGAGTTATCAAAAAATTGAAGGTAAATCATTAATAAATGATATAAATAAGAGGGGACCTAAGTGTGACCCTCGAGGAACACCAAAACTAACCAAAAAATCATTAGGAACATAACTATTTATTTTAACCACCTGGGTGCAAGAACAAAAATAAGATTTTAACCAATTAAAACATTTTCCATGAATAACAAAATAAGATAATTTATACAAAAGAATATTATGTTTTACTTTATCAAACGCTTTTTGAAAGTCTATATAAATGGTGTCCAGTGAACACTTTGAATTAAGGCCCAAAGGATTTTCGTCTTATAAAGTAAAATATTAGTAAAAATTGACATTTTGGGTCTGAAACCATGTTGGTTTATAGATACGAAGTGGGATATAATTAAAGACAACTTTTTAGTAATTAAAGCTTCAAACATTTATATCTACCAACAGTAATTAATTTATTTATTGGGTATTAATTTACTAATAATACTTCGTTTTACTGTTTCTAGTCGCACGATGAATTATCACGCGGTGAATTGTCCGCGATCTCCTTATAATAGGGGGCTTGTTTCTTTTTTCGACGATAATTTAGTTAATGTAGGTACCTACCTATAGGTAATTTATTAGGTGTTCTTAATCAACCATCGTAGGATATGTTTGTTTCGAACGATGTGGCAAGATTAAAGATCTCTTTAGGTTTATTCAATCTGTTGAAAATTTATACCTACTTAAATTGCTATGATAAAATTTCTTACATATTTATATTTTTACTCAATAAAATAAAACAACAAAAGAGTTTAACAAATCTTAAATAAATAGGTAGGTACTAAGTACATTTTTAAGTCAGGTAAAATTGATTATTCGTATAAGCACGTTTATGAGATCTTAACTTTGGGGATAGAGGAGGAGGAGGCGCAAGGACTAGGGTAGCTTGCATATGAGAAGAGCTATTTTTTCAGAGCATGTGTCAGGTAAGGTCCAATGATGTCTGACCGTTGGTTTTCTGCTGTTTGATTTCGTGACATAATATAGCTGGTAGTTGATTACAAAGGAGATTATGTGGGTGAACCGTTGGACAAACTCAAGCCTTCAAATTCCTCTTTAGTGTTCCTGCCAAGTGCTAGCATAGTCCCAGGCTCTGACCTAAAAATAGCTCAATGAGAAGCCATAAAGTCTTAACATCGTGATCAGACAGACCAAGACTGGATTAATCGTATTTTACATAAATGGGTTATGATTCAATCTCCAATCTGCGAGTGCGGGGAAACACAGGCTATTCGCCACATTGCCGAGGGCTGATGAGAACGATCAATGTCAATGCACTAGTTTCAGAGGTGGAGTAGCACTGTTGTACGAGTATGGATACGTGACTATTAAACGGCTAGACTCTGGTTGGACTTTCTAAAAAGAAACTCGAAGTGCGGTTGCAGAAATAGAATAATGAGTATTATATATATTATAATATTAGTGGTTCTAGATTTCAAATATTTATGCTACTTATAGGTAAAACTAAAACCTTTATGTTATAATTACATAATATTTATTACATATTGTCCATATTTGCTAAGTGTTTAAAAAAAAAAATATTATTTCATTTTATTTCACTTATTAGTGATTTTTGTTAAAAATAAAATATATCATTATATTACGGTCTAAACTTGGAGTCATATTATGCATGAATAAATAAATGTGGGTCTATATTATGGATAGAGATAGAGTATGTAATATGTATATATTATTAAGACATTAAGTTTATACGAATGGGTGTTAATTATTTTGAATCGTATTTACGATCTGAAATTATATTATTAATGCGAGCTCTATCGTTCGAGTTAAACATTGTATAATTAAACTATATTACTGAGTATTGAAATTACGTTCTTGTATCTTGAATATTATTACACACTTACATAAGTACACAAATCCACACATATATTATATATTATAATTTTGCAATGTTGCGTGTATAGTAATATTTCAAAGTTATATGAGCTATAGGTATACTGATTAGATTTTGAGATTCCCATTACTATGAATATTACATTTAGTAGGTATGCCTGCACTATGTATTGCAAACATACTACCAATTTATTAATTATTATTTTTCTCTTGTTGAAATAATATTTGTAACATAATGACCAAAACTTATATTCCTTAAATTTTTATTCCACTAGGTAATTGATATATTATTAGGTGTAAAAAAAGGTTAGAATGAGATGGATATTTAAAAAAAAAAAATATGTTCAAATGATTTATATTTTACTGATGCTATTTCAAAATATTTGAGTTATATTATAGCTCTGAACATTTTCTCTTTTTTTTTTTAAATTTATTTCATGATTTATTTTTTATAATTTATTTTCTGGACGTTTTTCATATGGGACTATTTTTACTAAATATCTGAAATAATTTCATAAATGTGTTACAAATACCTGCAATAGCGGCACACTTGGAGTTACTGTAATTTCGTATATTGGGAAGTTATACGTTTATACATTTTAGAATCTATATACAGACAAAAACTCGTCGCCTTAAACTTTAGTTCAACATAATACCTACCTATTAATTATTTCAAATTACGTTGTGTGTAAGTAAAAACAGAAGCCTGCAGAATACGTAGGTGTACGACATTGTACACAGTAGGTACTTATACCACGTATACAGGTATTATTATTGGATTAGAGAATAGTAAGGGTTGGCGGTGTCGTAATTAAATTTGCAAGCATTGAAACGAGTCACTTATACTACAGTTTTCATTACACTACAGCAACTTGGTACAATTTGTCAGATTACATTTTACAAGCCCTCTGAATATTGTCACATAATTAATTGATATAAGATAATGTGTGTTGAGTGTTCTCATTAGTATCTATAATATGTTTAGATACCTACAACAGCTATTAGCAAGGCATAGTGTGATTAGCCTTAAGATCCCACGATGGGTGATATTGGTCGGTGACGCGTTGCTAACCCATTACAGCATCATATGTTACTTAATTTTAAATTATTATGTCACTTAAAAATATTTATTTGAACTGGTACACCAGTAAACCAGTTCAAATAAATATTTAGCATCTAACTCAGGTTTACGTACTTCAGAAATATTTATTTGAACTGGTAAGAATATCAAATTTTTACACCGAATTCACATTTATAGAGCAGCAACAATCTGAACACATAAAAATGCTATACAAAATGTCTTGCTTAACCTAGGAATATTTTAACAATTTTTTAACCATATATTACCAGCTACAGAAAAATTCACCAGTTGTATTTTTTATTTTAGTAGGTACTGACTTTATTAAATGTAACGATGTAGTGTTTTTTAAAAACCATGATTCTTTAAATAGAACAATTAAAAAATATTTTCATCATTTTTCAACAACTATCAACAAATTAATTATTAGATATAAATTAAAGTTATTGAAATTATTGATGCCTAACGTGTTTGATGAAACAAATTCACTTGTTACAGATAACATGCAGTTAGCTATAAGTCTGTCAGCTGTTTTAATAGTGTGCATGGTGGGTGTGACGCATAATTTAGAATGCGAACAAAATCAAAATGGACTGTCCATGAGCTTTTTTAAGACGAATGGCGATCTTCTGTTAACTGGTAAATAAATTGTACAACATATTTTAAAATTTTAAATTATGGACATGTGAATAATTTATGCGTTTAATTAACGTGTTTCAGGTTTCTTTGATGTTTATGACGAGAAATGTTCGGGCCCCACGTCTACAGGTATCCATTCGATGGAAATGGTAGCCACCGTCGTACAAATACTAAATTCGATTCATTACATCCCAGGCATAACATTGGGTATGTAAAAAAAAATACAACACACAATAGCTAGGCACTGACAAGATGGCATTTGCCAGGGGTGCAATTATACGAAAGCCGCAATTTCATCGAGTGGCATTCTCAATTCAAATATGATAATTTACAAAAATAAAAATCTGTCGTTTATTTTTAGCGTAATCACAACATGGTTCTCGACACGCAATCGCATATTGGAACCACGATAGGGTATTTATTTATATAGCACTGCCCCCGACCGCTGAAAACCGTATCTTGACATATACAATATACATATATCACATGACTAATATCAATATTTGCTACCTATTCAAACCAAAAACAATCTCAGCTGTTATCTGTAAATATGAAAATAGTTGGCCAAAATTCGATATTTTGAGTTTGAAAATACTCAAATAAATATATTAAAAATAAAAATGTTTTTTGTACTACCCAAGGTGTAAACAAATGTAAGACTTGAAGATGTTACAAACAAATAATACGATTAAAATCTTTTCACTTTTATATACGTACTAATGTAATTATGTTTTTCTTTTTATCGACTTAAACTACGATATAAACACCACCACTTAGAACATGATCTACTGATTACAAAAATATCAACATTTAAATTTAGTTGATCATACTTGCTTTTTTTCATTGTAGTGGACACTTGAAGTTTTAAAAGCCTTATTTATAAGCAATATTTAATTAGATTATATTTATTTTTTATTATTATTATTTGAATGGCTTTAATTCCATAAAATATTACACGTAATGAAATCCACAAATATATGTGTATATATTTGAATAATTGAAAATTAAAAATAAATAACCAATAGTAAAATATAAATTGTTTTATATTGACTTACATTTCAGTTAAATTAAAACTAAAATTAAATAAATAAGTAAATAGATAACGATAAAATATAAATATTTCATATTATTTTCTTTATGCTAGAAAGTTAAAAATTAATTGATTGAAGTTAAATTTAAAAAAAATATTATAAATTAATAATAAATCATAAAATAAAAATGTCTATATTTAATACAAAAAGATACATTTTTATTTAGTTTGTTATTATTATTTAATTATAATATATAATAAAGCAATTTGTATAGTTAATAATAAAATAAAGATGTACTTGTGCTGCAATTAACAGAGCTTTTTTTTTAATAATGAGTATTTTATGATAGTAGATAAAATTGGATGAGGGGGGCTCAAATTTGGTTTTATGCCAGGGGCGGGCCTGGCTCTTGCTACGGCACTGAATTTGTACCTAAGTGACAATTATCATAACATATCATAGTAAATTACAGTGGCACAGCCAGAAATATTGTATGGGGGAATATCCCCACGGATGCAAAAAATCCCCATTAAACTTTCCTTCACTTACACGTTCAACCCTTTGCTACGTCTCTGGTCCATTTATATCATTAATAGAGGTTAGGTAATTTCTTAGTAAATAATATTTCTGTCATTCGTTATGGTTAATGTCTGTTCTCAATCCCATTTTTAATTCGTCGGAAAAAAAACTCAATGCAACTTATACATTTTCTGTATTCGCATACAATATGATTATTGACACATAAATAAATACGTTGAATTCATTTCTACCAGCCTGTACATTGAATCTTTGAGTCATCCATTGAAACGATAAGCCGTTACCCCCATAATAAAGATTTTCTTACAACGACTTCATACAAATACTTAATACAAATATCCGGCAGACCAAATGGTTCTCATCTCATTTAAACTTCTATATTATACAACACTAATGGTGAACACGTTATACGACGTATAAGATATTATGTTATCCAGTAATATTCCATTGCTTGTGGTTCAGTGTTTTGATTAAATATTTAGACGTTGAAATGTCGCTACTATCATGACGCAGATCAGGCCATAATCAGCTCTTCCTTTTCCATTAATTTATAATCGTTTTGAAATTTGAATTCGTCTCTCTATCACACTATTAATAATTACCTATGCGGTATAATCCAAAATAACTGTCCATATCACTTAACCCCCAATGTTTGGACGTATTCTCCTGTCGAAGACGTTGAACCCTACTACCAGTAAAATACTCGACAGTATAACTTATAAATTATAATGTATTCGTTAAATACCCACCGAATGAGATCGGTGTACAATTATATGCACGTTTTTTATACTTGTATACAACGGTTAATTTTTGTTTACTATGAGTTCCCGAAAATTTCCGGTAAATATGGCACTAATCAGTGAGGTTTTTACTTTTAATTAATTAATTTTAGATTTTATAAGCGCACAAGTACACATAACAAGTATACGGATAATCATCAATATGTGAAACAAATAAAAGTTTTTTATATTTGTATTATTTGACTAATAGTGCATTAGTGCATACGTTTTTGTTTGATTTGAATACTTGTTGTGTCCATTTGTATACAACATATTTTTTCAAATTAATTTTAAAAAATGAAATGATTTTTAAGAGATAAATGTAATTCAATTTCTGCATATTAGAAAAACAAAATGCAATTCTATTAAACTTATACGAGGCGTGTCCAGAAAGTAAGTGTACTGAGGCTCTCACGGCCATAGGAAATATTTTTTTACTATGTTGGCTACACTGCCGTATAGCGTTACTCCTAACCTTTAAAACAAGACCAGAACGAGTTCAGTACGTTGTAAACTGTAGTCTCACGAATTTTTCTTGTTAAACATGTCGATCGAGTCTGCCGCCAAGTGCGAAATCCGCGCCGTTATCCGTTACCTTGTTGCGAAGGAAAAATCTCCACATGAGATTTTTAATGAGGTACGAACCGTTTATGGTGAAGGCCATATGAATCGTACCAGTGTATACAAGTGGTGTAGGGAGTTTAAAAACGGCCGTACGAATGTACATGACGGTCTGAGGAGTGGGAGACCGTCGATTTTGACTGACGACATTGTGAAAAAAGTCGAGAATGCGGTTCGTGACGATCGCAGATTGACTCTGGATGAACTTTCTGCAATGTTTCCGCAACTGTCAAGGTCTCTGCTCCACGAAACAATCACAGAAACACTTGGATTTCATAAACTGTGCGCAAGATGGGTTCCAAAATAGCTTACTGAACAACACATGTTGAATCGAGTGCAAGCCTCTAGAGAGTTTTTGGAACGCTATGCACTGGACGGTGATAATTTTCTCAAGTCTATTGTTACTGGAGATGAAACTTGGGTTGCACACTATACACCTGAAACTAAGAGACAGTCCGAACAGTGGCGTCACACCACTTCACCCTCAACCAAAAAGTTAAAAACCACCATTTCAGCCAAAAAAATCATGGCATCAGTGTTTTGGGACCTCAAAGGCATCATTTTGATTGAATATTTACCTCAGGGGGAGACCATCAACGCAGCAAGATATTGTGAGACCCTAAAAAAATTGAGGAGAGCTATTCAAAATAAAAGGAGGGGTCTGTTAACGAGCGGAGTCTGCCTGCTGCACGACAACGCCAGACCCCACACGGCCAATGTCACGAAGCAATTGTTGGACTCATTTGGATGGGATGTTTTGAACCACCCCCCGTATTCCCCCGACCTGGCGCCTTCAGATTACCATTTGTTCACTTCCCTGAAGAAGCACATGGGTGGAAAAAAATTTTCAGCTGACGAGGAAGTGAAGGGGGCGGTCGACAAGTGGACAAAGGAGATGGCGGCAGAGTTCTACGAGGCAGGCATAAAAAAATTAATCTGCCGTCTCACAACCTGCATTGAAAGAAATGGTGACTATGTAGAAAAATAGCCCACAAATATATTAATGTAACCACGTTATTTTTTTTTTTTAATAAATTTTTTTGAAACCTACAAAAATTGAGTACACTTACTTTCTGGACACGCCTCGTAGTTTTATTCTTGTATCATTGAGTATGATAGTAAAATGTTGTTAGAATAATGTAATATTGTATAGTATTATGTCAATAGTACAATATTATGATCACATTAAAGTTGCAGAATACAACCATAGTTTTTTTAGAATAATAGTCAAAACATTTTGATAAAATATAATATACATTACATGCAATGTACATTATAATTATGCATGGTATATTAACCTATAATTTATTTGGCTATATAATAGTATAATAATATGATTTATTAGACTATACGATAGGTACTTATTATTCATTGTATATGAAAAAACATTAAACATTAAAGGTAGTACATTTTCAAAAATGATTTCTCATGAGAGTTAGCTAGAAATATACGTACATTAATAATTTTAGTTCGGCGTATATAATTAGGAAACAATAAATCGTACTCATTTTAATTGTCTAAATAGTACAATAACATTAGCTTTGTGGTGTTAGAAATTCAATAGGTACACACAATAAACAATTAAATCCTTAGCGGTGGCCGTTTCGAGGGAGGTGATTTTGAATTTTGGATTCTTCTATTGAAGTCTTGACAATACCGCTATTATTGATCTATAGCCCAGTAAAGTCTAATTTATATTTTAAGTCTCAGGTGTTCGATTACGTAAGGCTTCTAATTAGAAGATTTATTATAAGCGGTCATCGATTATTTAAAGTGTGTTTGTTTCAACACATTTTAATTTTTTTGTCCATTTTATCAGGATTAACTTTGTACGAAGTGTGTTCGTATCGAAGTTCAGATCTCCAAAAAGCATTGATATCGTTCGTTGTCGACAAAGATTGCAATAACTCAACAATACCGATTGGTAAATATTACAACAATTGCTTGTTATTTATGGACCCAATAGTGATACCCACGAAGGAAAAACATTATTTTTTAAAAAAATTAAATTAAATTTTATAGCCATATATACTACTGAAGACATACGAGCCAAAATCAGTCCGTCGATTGGTTTGGACATACCCATCGTAACGGCAGGACCTATTATTGACGTCGACATCCATGCCGAGGCAGCGGTAAAGTTTTTAACCCTAAACAATATAAGCGTCGCAGACGTATTAGTTGCGCAGGATCTGAATGTGGCTCAGAGGTTTGAAACCGTTGCCAAAGACAATAGATTGTGTTTGAACAGGACAGTCTTGGCTCATAACTTGGGGTAATTATATACCTGCCCAGTGAACTTGAAATGTTATTTCATGTTATTTTTAGTATTTTACTCGCAAAATGGATGTTTTAGGGATTTCAACGACTCCTTGGTAGTCATTGTCATGACAAACAGGAATGTGATTAAATCAATTATAGAATCGTCTTCGACCGTTCGTGTATCTCATTTCATTATAATACCATTGGACGGACCGTTACCACCTAAACCAGGTATTTATACGAACGCAAAATATCTGGCTTGCTCAGCTTTTTTGAAGGGGGGGGATATGCATTTTTGACTCTTCTGAGCCCACGTTATACATATACATTAATTACTTTTTCATATATTTTAAATGACAAAATTAAGCTAAAAGGGAGATATGACACCTTCTTCCCCTATTGAGCACTCCTCTGTCCACGATCAAAGTGATTTCCGGTTTAAATCACGGTATTCTTGCAATTTCAGACTTCAAGTCCGGTTCGTACGTGTTTCAAGCGTACGGCAGTTGTCCGTTCGTCAACAGCAACAACAGCAACAACAGCAATAGCGGTGTCCCCACCGCAGCCCCGGAACAGCTGCAGGCCGTGTCCACGCAGTTCGTACAGACGGCCGTGGATGTGCTGCGCGCCGTGGACGCGTACACCGGGAATGTGGACGACGACGGCGGCGGCGTGGACGAAGAGTGCGGTCGGAACTCGTCCGCGGGACCGTGCGACCCGGCGGCGGGAAACCAGACAGCCACGGGTGCAGGTTATTACGGCGTCGAGACCGTGGGTCGAGTGCTGGATAGGCTGCTGTTGCTGGACGGCAGCGGCGGCGAGTACAACGTGACATTAGTGCATGTGACTGAATACGGCGATGGTGGCCAGACGGTCGGCAGTTACGCGCAGGACTCGAACGGCACTCGCAGGCTGTGGCTGCAGAGCGACGGCAGTGGTCATCAACCACGGTACTTGGGCGTTTGCGAGGCGAACGGATCGTGTCCGACGTGCCGGGTAAGACCCACACCGACGGCCGCGCCCGCCGGCCCATCGTACGGACTGCTTTCTGTGACGTGGAAAGAGGACGTGTGGATAGCGTCCGCGCTGACCGTGTCGGCGGTGGGCTCTATATGCGCCACGTGCATAGCGTCGTTCGTGTTGGTGCGCGTGTGCAAGAAGGACGTGATGGAAGGCAACCCCACGTTCTCGTTCGTGTTGGTGGCCGGCACGCTGCTCATGTACGCCAGCGTCGTACCGTACGCGGTGCACGATAGCGCCGCCGGTTGGCCGCGGCAAGCCGTGTGCTACGCCAAGCTGTTCGGCACGTCGGGCAGCTGCGCGTTCGTGTTCTCCGCCATGCTGGCCCGGAGCTTGATGATCGCCGCTTGTGACTGCGACTCGAGTTTCATGAGCCACGTCAACGGCTACCTGCAGACGTCCCTGTTCGCGTTCACTGTGGGCGTGCAGCTGGCGCTCATGCTTCAGTTCGTGGCCATACACGCCGCCGTCGTGCCGTCGTCCGATCTGTGCCAGGTGTTCGTCGACGGTCCCCTGTTTTTGGGAACCATGTCCTACGACGCGCTGCTGCTGGTGCTCCTGTGCATCACGTCTCCGTTCGTGTTCCGGTCGAAGCGCAACTACCGAGAGGGCGCGTGTTTCGCTATCGCCACTTACCTGGTATTCGCCGTCTGGCTGTGCTGGACCACGGCGTACGCCGTCCTGCCCACGCAGTGGTCCGACATGTGCGTGATGGTCGGCCTGACGGCTACCGCGACCGTGATCGTGGTCACCGTGTTCATACCGCGCACGTACATGATGATGTTCGGCATCGTCCGCGAACAGATAACCAGCTCTCTGCCGTCACTCGGCTACGGTCACAGCGGAGGCGGTGGCTGCGGCGGCGGCGCCAGCATAACGGACGTCAACTATAGGTCTACTCAGGCCCTGTACGATTCGGTCCACGTGGCCGCTCCCAAATGTCAGTCGTCCAGCTTCAAAGGCCAGTCCAACCCCAACTACTACTCGCCGGCCGGGTCGCATATACAGTCGATCCCCAGGAGCCGGCCGCTGACTCCGGTCGACGAGTACGACTCACCCCCATCGATCGACAACAGGATAACCAGGTTCTAATATCCTGCAGGTGCAGCTGCGACCCTCGTCTGGTTATCCAGCTTTGACGACGTTCGTACGATTTCCCCCATAAATTATCGATCCCGATGTAGGCCTACAACACATTATACCACCACCCTCCGTTTGCGACGATAGACGATAATATTACCTACCTAGGTAGCTGTTATTAATAATTCATTATTTTGTCGCATCCCCCTGTTCGTTTTTAATTTTTAATTTGCTAACCGTATCGATTATATTATTATTACCTATATCGTATACTCGCATGACTATAGGTACTATTACCCATATAAAGTCTATAGCTGGGATTTTAAAATTAATTATTCACTCAAAACGTACTCATTGTACCACCTTGTATCTTAGTTTATGTGTATTACTTATATTGTATTAATTGTATAGAAATTGTAAATATTCGTTTAACAATGACCAAAAATCAAACTTTGATTACAAATTTAAACTATTTAATTTCTTGTTTATTAAATATGTGATTTCATGCAATTACCTAGAAATATGTAACTTATATGAAAAAAATATTAAGAAAATATTAAGAAAAAAATTAACGCGACTGACGGACTGAACGCATAACGAAACTTCAAAATATTTAATTCGAAATATTCTAAATCAAGTGTAAGATTATGCATTTATACATACACAAATCCGGGACCTACTGCCTACTATCATAACATTAATAATTTGTCAAGTTATTTTATGGTTTTAAAATGTACATCATATTAGGTACAGTGTATAAGCACCTACTAATTAGATAATTGTCTCATTGCCTTTGCATAATAAAATTACTATAGTTTCCTAACCTGGTCCTCGTTTTAATATGACTCCTGCTTTTATATTACTATATAATCAATGATGTATTGTATAGTGTTAGTTTGTATTCATATTTAATATGTATACATTGTATTATTATGTAGTTGATTAGCCAGATAATTGACAGTTTTTAATCATTTAAAAAATGTTATTTTGTATTTTTTTTCTCAATATGATGAAATTATTAGTAAAACAATTACTGAATATTGCAATTCTGAGTACCAAATGACGCGAAAAATAGCGTTAGGTTTTAGTATAACTGTATATTGTACATATTATAATATATTAATGTATACATAAAAATTCGTTTTAATCGAAATAGAATAAATTGTTCTAGGTAATATTTTCTTACTTTTGTAACTTTTGCACCATATTTTACCTTCCTGGTAGTCAGTATCCACTCCACTCAGGGTAAATCGATCGCTATACACTCTCGGACTGTTTAAATTTAAAATAATTGTCGGAATGTTATTAAAATTCACCCTTTATATTTAATTAGAACAAATTAGTTGTATTTTACATATATATTTTGGTACAATATAATATGATGCTGGAAAATGTAAGATCCTTTGATAACGAGGTAGCTGTGTGTATTATAGCCGTGTGTAGTAGTTCATGAACGAATAATTAAAAACCCATATTAAAATAAAAAATAAAAAATAAATTTACCTGTGTGTTGTAAACTCGTCGATTATTGATTAGAACTAGATAAAGTGTATAGATAATAATATGACATTTTAATTTTATAACATAATAATATAATATATATTAGGTATAATAATAATATGTATGTTTTCATAATTCATCTCTGTAATTATTATTTTTGACGTTTTATATATTAAAGTAATCCACGAAAGTAATGAAATAAATACATTTTAGATAGCTAAGTAAATTTATTTATAAATGAGGTACTTCGCACAGGTATACTGTGACAGGCACTAAATTGGATGAGAAAATTGATGACAATATGTCTGGCAAGGCATTTTGGGAGGACAATAAGGAACTAAGGTTTCATTACGTTGTACTGAAAGTAAAACACAATTAAATGAGGTATGCCGAAGGTTACAGATTATCTCGTTAGTCGGTTGTGAATAGGGTATAGAAAAGAGTCATTAAGGGTACAGGAAGGGTAAATAGTTTATATTAATGGATTGAAAAAAATGAATAGTTTATTCGAGTGTGCAAAACAGCTTACATCGTTTTTTGTAAGTTACAAATCCAACAAATTATGATATAAAAACAATACATTTTTCTAACTTCAGATAACGTTTTTAATTAATGCCTCGAAATACACACCGACAAAATTAATGCAGTACCCCTACATGCACTTGCAGCAGGGGTTCAAGTAATAACGTTTTAAATCTTAAATTATTTCAACTAAAATCAAATAACCATATGTTCGAAACACAATTTTATTTCTAAGCCCCAATGAAACCGATTTTATTTTTAAGTTACTGTGCGTTCACTCCACACACAATTCTATACGTCAGAACAAACAAAGTAATTGATTTGTTATCAACCATTTGGACGAAAGTTGACCAATTTCAAACAGGCAACAGGAGTGACTTGTTGTCAACTACCTATTATCCATTATAATTTATGCCTATACATATATTATATATATTTTAACAATTATACTTTTTTTTACAATACCTATTCAATACAACATTTTTAAACGAATGTTTAAAAAAAATGGTAAAGTCAGATTTTAACGGTTTAGATATTATAAATTAATTTTGATATTGTAATAGTTAAATAATAATATCTTATTGAATGGGTTTTGATTTTTTTTTGCAATAAATCACAACCCAGTTGGGTAGGTACTTCATAATATATTTTGATTAATCTGTATAAATAAGTGTTTAAAAGTTATATTACATAATATACAAACAATATACATGTTATTTAATAAGCAGCTATTTAGTAATTCACACTTAAATTAGTGAGGTTTTACTTTTAACGCATATAATATTATTACAATACTTATAATCCAAAAAATAAACTTTAATTTTTAATGCAATGTTATTTTGTAAATACTCTTCTTGTAGGAAACTCACCGAATGAAAAAAGATAATTTCTACAGTTTTTACCAAAATTATTTTTTTTTTTGAAAGTCTTATCGCGTTTATCATAATGTAGGCATTCATTTTATCTCAAAGCATTCACCAGTAGGCAGTATGACTTAGTAATGTAAATTTAATACTAAAATAGGCAATCAATATTAAATAACTATAAAATAATACTTATTATGCTTTATGTTTATTACTAATATAAGTAATAACTAACAATTTCAATTATTTTCATCCATTTCGTCGAGTTTTTTATAAGCGATAGGTTTGTTAAAGTATGATACAACACTCGTGGACTTATAATCGGGAATAGATGTATCGTTGTTAATCTGCAAAAATAAATAAAAAATGATTAGTGCATAATGGACGGTTACTATCGTCTACCTAAGATACCTATTTGTTCGTACCTTATCTGTTTTGTCGTTCGAAACTTTACTTAAAAATACTAACAGACTGCAATAAGATATGTTTATGATTCCTACAGTCCTCATTAACCACGGGAATCCAAGACTTTTCACGACTTGACCACCGAAAATAGGACCTTAAATCATAAATTATATTGGGCACTTGCTCAAGCAAATATGTATAATACAGGCAAAATATTATAAATTATAATAGGATACAATTTGTATGATATTTTTTATAATACGCAGTACGGTAATAACACGATTTTAAATAGGAATATCGAAGTAAGTTCTCAATATTATTCAAGCCAATTAGGTCTTATAAAAAAAAAGAAAATCAAACGTAATAGGTAACACGTCATTATGAAAACAACTGTATGCTCATAACTTACCAACGGAATATGCGAGGCTGACGGCCGTTTGTTGAAGTGCGTATACCGATCCGTAATGTACGTTTGGATGTCTGGTGTCCACTAGATTTGCCAGCATGGGCACCAAAGCAGAGTCTACTATACCTATACCCAGGCCCAAACCGAAATGTGGGCAGACAAGCCCTGTCGTTGTCGTGGCAGCCGGAATCTTTTGAAACACGATGTTACGGGATGATAAATACTTGATATAATGCGGTATCAGTTATCAGTGTCGTTATAGGTAGGTACCTACCCATTTCGTTTACAACACTGCTTGGTAATTATAAGCTGTTGAATTAACTATGACACACAACTCACCATGATTGCGGATATGCCGACCAGTAGAGTTGCTAAAATAGCCATTCTCCATTGTCCCATTGTGTACGACAATGCGCCAAATAAATTAGTGCCAATCAAATAGCCAAGACTGTCTGGAATGAAAACCGTACCCAACTGCCATTTCTGAAATTGTGACAAAGTCAAAATAGTATCTGAGGCTTTCATCGAGTTCGTTTTACTTCTGGGTTTATGATTTGTATGAGCCAAATTGGTAGAAAAGGTTCCAAAATGGCCATGGCAGATGACGTAAGACAAATAGAAAAAATTATCAACAGGATATACTCGTCTTTTAAAAGATCTTTCCAGTTGCCATTGTTGAAGTGAGACTATAAACAGCAGAAATGTTCAAACAAAAAACACATTTACGCAGTAGGTTTTTACTAGGTTATGATAATAATTAATGTTGTTATAAAAAAAAAACTAGACAAATTTTAATTTAAGATACGAGTAAATAAAGTACAACACAATAATGTGATTATCTGATCCTAAAATCAATGAATAAGACGATTGTATAGGTACACAATAACTAAATAATAAAACGATTAAATACCTGATGTTTATCGTTACTTGTTTGTTTTAATTGCAATATCTCCTTGAATGAATTTACCTAATGTATAAAACAATAGAAATAATATTTACTATTTGGACCACAAGATTAACCAAAGTTGTCAAATAAGATATCGAGAGAAACAGTTAGATACGTAGGTAGGTACAATAGAGATAAAAATTAATATATAAGACCATGGAATTGTAGTTATCAAGATAGCGATTAACTAAACTCTGAAACGAAGAAGAATGATCATTTTGTTATATCTATATAAGAAATGAAATAGAAGAGGACAAAGTAGAAAAAGCTCAAGAATTTGGCGAGGAATATAAAATGTTATTTTCCGAGGACACAAAGCTGGGGTCACGGATTAGGAGTTAAACTAGATGATAAACGAGGGAACAAGTAGTTGAGACAATGAGAATGAATGAAAACTGAATGTTTCTATAGGTAAGCGAGGAAAAACAATATATATATTTAGCTGCTTTAAAAAAAAAAACTTTTGGTTCATAAATATATTAATTAAGTGTCAGATAGACAGAAAATGTCATAATAGGATAACCGAGTTGTGTGTTTGAACGAGTAAATTTGAAACATGTGCAAGATGAAACTTTGAAGCTGAAACTAACTTTTTTGTAAAAAACCATTTTCATTTTAATAGGTCATCTATACGACAATGTCAATATACATTTAACATGAAATTTTTTATAATGACGAAATCATTAATTTACTGTTATCAATGTATTGCGTTCTTATGTTTGCATCATATTCTGAAACATTGGCATTGATCATCATTGAAATGAAATACGTATCTAACTTATCTTTTTATTTTGATTAAAATACATGTATATATTATATTTATGATAGAGCATCATACTATAGGTGGGCATAAGATACTATTAGGTACATAAATATTCATAGATTTTATTTTAACATTTTTTATATATTAAGTGAAATAGGTACTTACTTTTTTTACGAGATTAAAATTAAAAACATAAAGTTGTAGACCTGAAAAATAAAATGTTTGTACAATGATCTCTATCAATTGTATATGTATTGTGTAGTCTTTATAATTTTTCGTATTTAAATTGAGTTTAAAAAAAAACCAAACTATTCGAGCTGTAAAACTTGTATATAATATATTTAAAAACAGTTAACCACCCAAAAGCCTTAAAACAATTTTAGTAGTGTCACTATAGTATTACATTTTTATCTAACTAGTCAGCGATTTTAAATACCTACTGAATATTTTATGTAATAAAGTCATTTAAAAATTTGTTTTTTTATCACATCTACATAAATACGTAGGTTTAGTGCTTACGTCTAATGTAATTTTAATTCTATCAACTTACTATACATGGCTTGAAAATGTTATTCAAGATTCTTAGTAAGTTTCTTTTTACTGCAATTAAAAAAAAAAAAAAACGGTTTGCTTATCCCGTTAAGCAAAATGCATTTGTATGAAATATCGATTTCAAATTATAACGAAATCGGACGAAAATCCGATAAAAATAATGACTTTCCTTTGGATTTCTGTTACTAATTGATTTTCTCAAACTTTAATAAACTGAATTTTAAGTATGGAACGACTTACAATTTGGCATTTTTTTTGTCGAGCTGTCTTACTGCAAACTGTTTTCCGAAATATTCAAATTATCTAACAACTTCAGCTACGTATTACCATTTACTAGTTACCCCTAGGGATTTTAACTGTTTTTATTATTTATAAATAATATTTCTACACTTTTGTGTATAACTTACACTAAACTCGCTCACCTAAATTGAACGTTATAGCACATATTATAACATTAAATGGTGTCGACTTGTCAACAAAATAATAAAGTATGCCACCAAACGGATAACCGACTAAAACACCCAAGGCAATGCTTCCCATGACTAGACCCATTACTTTACTGCGTCTCAAATCTGACATATGATTTTGATCAGCAATCAAGCACATACCTGAAATATAATTTGTTATGTATAAATATCTGTCCAATGTATTTATGTTTGCCTAGTAGCAAGGCATACCAGAAACACTGATCAATGCTGAAGCAGTGCCTTGAAGACTCCTTGCAACTAGTAACGAAACGAAAGTCTCTCCATACGCAAACACTGCATTTCAAAAAAAAAAATAGCATATACAACTAAGCAGTAACTTGACCGTTATTTTCCAATTAATGTATTGATTGATATATTTAAACAAATAACTATAAATCATTATTATGTAAATGTATGTACTTAAATACATTTTTCAGTAGTTTATATATATCATATTGGTGTGAAAAATGTAAAAAATTTGTTTTAAAAAAAATGATATTATGGTTTTTATAATCATAATTTTTATATTATAATTTACTTTGATATATTTATTAATAAATGATTCATAAAGTTATAAATTAATTTTTATTGCAGGTATAGCACCTATGGCCTAACCTAATTTTGGTGTGTACCCAGGTATTTGAAATGTAAGTGAGTTATTATTAATTATCATGGATCAAACAACAATTGTATTATTGTTATTATAATTTATCAATATTTTTAATTAAAAAAAATATGTTTTATTATGACTGAAGATTTTTAAATTTATAAATTTGAAAGTTTAAAACGCATACACTCAATTTATTAATAATTTACTATTGTTATTCATTTAATTAATTCTGCATTATGAAGTCTCGCTTCTGCACAGCCACCGAGCGGCTTAGAAGTGAACAACTTCTGTTATTTTAATAACTTCATAATCTATTGTTAAACTATGTTAGTTGGAAAAATAAATAAACAATTTGATTTTCATGATGTTACTATGTAAAACGAAATATATTTTTATAAAACTAAGGCTCATAATACCATATGTAACCATTGTTATTCAATTGTAATATTGTTATGACGTCGTTATTGTACATGTGACCAGCTATAAATACATATTTTGTTTTGTATTAATTATCATTTCGTTATTATGTTGATTGTAAATTACGAAGTCTATATTATAAACATATAATCAATTAGATTAAATTAAAGTATGTTACTTACAAACTGATATTATAATCAAAAGAATTGATCCAAGGAATATTGGTAAGTTGTATCCGACGTACGATGTTAAAATGCCCACCAAAGGATTCATAAACAACTGAACTATAGCTTTTGAAGATAACAAGATGCCTATCGTCTCGTTTTCATTTTCCAGTGTTTGCAATTTCATTTTGATCAATGAACTAAATACGTTTCAAATCGTTATGGCGTGAAATAAATATCAAATAAAACTTAAACCATATTACCTAGGAAGAAGCGGCTGATCTCCTCTAGTCACATTTGTTACAAGACGAGATGTATTGGTAATCCATTGTACGTATAAATGTTCAGGAATAATTGGCACTGTAATAGGTTTTACTTAGATTAAATGTGTATGTATCAAAGTTGTATCAAAAACGTTTAAACATTATTTTCTAATGTATTATACTAAAAATAATTGTATAAGTACAAATGGAATTCATTGTGGCGTTGTGGATACCAAAAATTCAATCTCGAATGTTTGTAAATTATTTTTCAACAAATTTTTTAGACTGTGAGTTTCGTCATAAACAAATTAATACAATCATAGATTTTTCAAAAACTGAAACAACATAATGTAAAAAGCAATTTTCCTCAAATACATTATTTTAAAGAATTGTTTTATAAAAAAAAAATTATGCTTAAAATTTGTTTGAAGATTTAAATAATATACTAGATAGGTAGTACCTTATTAGGTAGTTATATTGCTTTGTTGTACATTAAATGTAAAATAAAATATGTTTTGAAATTTAATTATGATAACTGATTTAGTTGAGTTCAAACTGCGTGGCAGCAGTCGTATACATACGGCAGGGGCGGTGTACACCTGGTATTTTTATTACTAGATGTATAGACGTATACAAATTTAACAAAAATTAAAAAAATATTTTGATATACATATACATATAATTATTTTTATTTAAACCTATCCAATGAAAATATCTGCGTACGCCACTGGGTGGCAACTACACTAGTGTTAAATAATTAAAAATTTAAATAATGCCATACAATTTTATTGATTTCAACTTGTATTTTATTATGCATTTTGAATAGTTATTTTGATATTAAATGGTAAACAATTATTAGCTCTGAAAGTTATTTCAGATTCAAAGCGAAGGTGATTAAAAATATTAAATTAACTATCTATACCTACAACATAAATCATTGTATGATTTAATGCGATGTATAGTAAGTGTAATTTATTTTTGATGTGCAATTTTTTGTGTTATGAATATTTTTCTTTGAATAAATATTACGAAGTTTTGTTGAACAAAAACACAATTTTTTCTTTTACGCACAGGAAATTCAAAACGCACGTGTATGTAATACTTTGGCACTACTAGACATGTATAGTGTTTATTGCTAAATACACAAGAACATAATTATTTATATTAGCTCACCAACAACAGTCAAAAGTACATTGTCCAAAAACATTGATAAGTAGACAACGGAGATCACGCCCAAATCGCTTTCCATAACTCGTGATAAAAATGACCTGTAGATTTTAAATGTTTATATAATAGGTATACACACTCTATAGGTAGCTAATGATTCCAATAATGTGAATTATATAGAAATTTAACACAAAAAAACAAATAGTCGACGCATAATTAATATAGATGAAATATGTACTAACATTTTTTATAAGTTAAGACATACAACTTATTTAAAAAAAAATATTCTCATATTAGAGCCTTTGCACACGGATCGAACAACATGTAAATGTACTTCTGTGAGGTTAAGTGTGCTGAAACTGGGGTTACCTGTTTTCAGAGTAGCTAGAAAAAATGATTTCCTGTCCACTGGACATTGCGTTGTCTTGGTAACATTCAATTTTATCGTCACACATGCTATTTAACGTTCCATTTTTTTATCTTTTGTCAACACCAATGGGTTTTGAATTTAGTACTGGTTACTGATCTCTGAACTTAATTTTTTTTTACTATCTCAATGTACACAGTTCACAAATTTAGATAATTAATAGTTTTGTTTACGTATTATTATTATATTCTTATTGTTTTCAGTAATATAGGCCATTACAATAATTGAACCACTGTCATTCGTACATAGAAACTATCTATAATTTACGTATTAGAAAGTGCGTAAAATTAATATTTGAATTATCTGCTTGAATTTTTTTAGTATTGTGATATTTTTGTAGTTTAATTAATTTATAGCTATATAAAAAAGTATCTATTTCAAAATGTCAAGAAGCAACGAATGTTATGACTATTTGTTTAAATATATTGTGGTGGGAGACGCGGGTAAGTACGTACTAAATTATATCAATGATAATACTTAGGTATTATAATCATACAAACTTTTAATATATTTAATTTTATTTTTCCACCAAGTGGTGTGAATAGACACCTCCTTCGAACGTGAAATACAAGACATTATATTACATAGGTATTCACATTTTAATTAGGTACTATATTTTCTTTTTAATTCATGTGATTATGACTTAAATCTAAAAATAATAACAAAATAAAGAATATGATAATTTTAAATTTATACATTTTTGAAAGCAAACTGTCTTATCTATGCTTTTTTTATTTTTATTAAAGCCATTCTATTATTTATTTATTGTTATATTTACCGACAAATTCTCTTTTTACAAGATTTTAATAACTATTGTAATATTTTGACAGACAGTTTAAAAGAAAATTATATAATACTATTTTATTACATTTAATATTAGTATAATAATTGTATTAATTCTAATAAGCCTTAAATCTAAATAAATCACGGGGAAGTGCAAAAAATCTTATTAGCCAAAAAAAAAGCTCTCTAAAAAAATGTTTATTATTTCCACTGTTGGTATTATAATTAGGAACCACAAATATATCAGAGTTCCTTATGTTTCTACTTTGGTATACGGTAATCACTTTCAGATAGTAACGTAGGACAGTCAATGAGGTTGTTTAAAATATATTAACATAACATCTGTTAATTTACGTCTTAAACTTAGTGAGTCTAGGCTCAAGAAGTTTTCAACAACATTAACGGTATATCTAGTGATATGTACGTATGTTGGGGAAATAAGTAAATCACTTCAAAAACTTATATAGGACATTATCGAGATCATTTATATATTTCGAGTAATTACAAGACTAAATAAGTGAACCGTATTCGATGTATCTAGGATCTTACTTGATCTTGTTTAAACAAAAATGGGTTTTAAACTCATTCGTATTTTTATTGATAAAACCTAGCATTTTATATGATTTTTTTATGATCATTCTATGGTTTAATTTGAATGATAAATTGTTTTCAAAGAAGACATCTGAGTCTTTAATTGAATCTATCCTAACAAGAGAATAGTTATTAATTTGATACTGAAATATTATTGGATTTTCAATTGGTATTATATGTTTCAGGTGTGGGGAAGACGTGCATTACTAGGCAATTCTTATATCATGAGTTTGATTCTAAAGAGATGTCGACCATAGGTATATACATTTAAATAAGAAATATATTATTATAAAAAATAATTTACACTCAACAATACATGATTGATTTATAATAATAATAAAATATATGTAAGTAGGAATGTTTTATATTTTTTGAGAGAAGTTTTATTTTTTGTTTTTATCGCATTATTACATTTATGTAAAATATATTAAATAATCTAATCTTATAAGTTTATTTTTGAATAATAACTCTGTCAACATTTAAAACAAAATTGTAGAATAAACCGGAGCAGTCGCTCTGCTATATAATTGCTGTAGAGTTAAAGTGTAGTAATTATTGAGTGGGTAACTGAATTGGGGATGTGTTAAATTTGAATTCAATGATAAATCGTGGTAGACGTAAATATGCCGTGTGAAGATCATTCAGCCCATATTTGGGATTTTTTTTATATATTTATATTGCTTTAAGTAATTTATATTTCTATATGATTTTATGAAAATCGGTGTAAGGGGTGGATTTGCATAAGGGTCATCCGTTTTATGCATTTGATTTCATATAATATAATAGATATATATATATATTAATTATAGCTAATCCTGCACGACGTTTCCCATGACAAATTAAATTAATGCCAGTAGATTTACCCTGTCTTAAACTCGGTTAAATGTAAACAACATATTATATTTTTAACATAATAATTTGGGTAGTTTTAAGTAAATATAAAATCCGGTCTTAAATTATATCCAATAATTATAATAATTATTTTATTTTCTGTAACTTATGAAAACCCAATACAAACAAAAAAATATTCTATTTTCGTAAGCCCTTATTTAAAATGGAGAAATAAAAAAAATTGGCTTTGAGGTGCAGATCCTCGGGTACAGGATTGCCTATGTACCAAATTGGAGAATCATGAATGTGATAGACAAGGCTGCGGAACGCATGCGCATGCGAACATTGTCTTTTATTAATAATAAGATAATATTATAAGCTGTTATGAACTTATAAGTCAATACCAAAGAACCGTAGAAGGGTGTAAGTAGATTCGTTGTGTAAATATAGCTTAAAATTAATCCAAATACTTAGAAAATTACATTGTGTATAGTACATAATAATAAACGTAATGGTATAAAGTTTCAAGTTCCTGTGAATAATGTCTTTTGAATTAGGTACAAAAAGATAATTTAAATCATTATTTTACGTTTAAATATTTACTTTAATATTTACTTGAAAAATCTACAAATTGCGACTTCCTATGTAATTTTAAGATTAATAGGTTTCTGTAAGAAAAACATAAATTATTAGATGTTAAATATTAATGCGTAATCTAAGTATTGTATTAACATTGAACATTTTATGCAATTTTTAACTACTTAATTATTTGCAAATATACGTTTTTTTGAAGTTTATTTTATTTGAAAAAAATTGTTACGTTGTATTTTTAATGATATTGTTAAAATTAGTTTATAAAACTGACGAAAACGGAAGAACCCTATCTATATTAAAATAAAAATGTTATCATACATATATTGTAAAAATAAAATCGAAAATTTTAAATACCTATAAATAGGTAGAAAAATTCATTTTAAAATTACGTCATTGTCTAGAGAATGCCTTTATAAAACGTGCACATGAACACAAAATCCACATATTTGCCATGTTATTACCTACAAAACCAATATCGCTCCGCCCAGAATCTAAAATACAAAGTAATTTTTTTTTATTAATTTATATCAGTATTATTGTTGTGATTTTTTTAACATTATTTATGAGTTTATGAAATATTTTCAGTTACATGGAAATAGCATAACATAGTGTTGTAGGTATATTACAACATTAATATCTTATAAAATATAATTTTGTGTTTTGAATATTTTTTTAATTATAAAACGTTATGTTTAAATTATTAATTTAGGCATAGATTATGGCCATAAGACGTTGTCATTGTATAACAGGAAAATCAAAATAGCTGTATGGGATACAGCTGGCCAAGAAGCGTTCAAGTCCATAGCTAGATCATATTATTCGGGCGCTGCGGCTTGTATATTAGTGTACAATATCACTAAACGTTATTCGTTTCAACATGTTAGCGAATGGTTAAGAGAAGCTCGACTTAATTCTGGTACCAGAATGACGTTCGCGTTAGTGGGCAACAAAACGTAAACAACAAAAATAATTTAATAACTAAACAACATTAATTAGTTTAAGTGAGTTATTTTGAATTAATAATTTGATTAAAGACTGTCACGCGCAATGTTTTGTAAGTGATGATCCTTTTCTTGCCCCTGTTCTTTATTTAAGCTATCTACTAAATGGAAACTTGTGCAATCCAACCAATTACCTATTGTTTTTTTTTAAAAATAATTTAGGCGTTTATTAAGATAACATTTTACCGTTAGACTATTTCATTTATATCGTTTATATTACAAATTACGTATTATATAGTGTATAGTGTATAGTGTACACACACTACACTTGGATAATGTACGTCTTAAGGTTTTTGATAAGCCACATGTGTTTTATATACTCATATTTGTGTTTTATTATTACATTTGACACTTCGACAGTTATAAATAACACTCACTTCTGAGAAAAGTATTGAGCTGAATTCACACATTCAGCTTAAAATTATATTTGTTTAAATTCTATCATTTCTTCGAATTTTCTTTTTTTATTTTTCTTTTATACTTGAGGAAACTCCTTAGAAAAATGAAAACTGATCTCATTGGTTCTCCTTAATCGTATTTGCAAAAATGTTTAAAGTAACAACTAGATTTTATTTCCAATCGATATATATTAAAATAAAAAAATATTAATTGTAAATATATATCATACGTAATTAGGCTACAATGTAGCCGTTATATACATGTAATTTATTATATCAGAAACAATTAATAGAAAAATAAATAAAAATATTTTAAAAAACGAGACACCAATAAAATCTATACTTTGATCATGGTTTATAAGTTCAGTAGAAACATAATTATTTTATTTTACAGAAAATAAATATTAAATCTCCATAAAGAATAAAAATAAATGCGTTGATTAAAAAGTTTAAAAATATACCTGCAAATAAAATATCTATTTTTTGAGCTCGGTTATTGGATTTTAATATAATTTACTATTATATTACAGTGATTTAGAAAATAATAGAGAAGTAGAACGAATTGAAGGTGAACACTTTTCCTACAAAAATAGCTTATTATTTTTTGAAACTTCTGCCAAAACAGCAAGTAACGTATCAGACGTTTTCGAGGATTTAGCAAAACATTTATACAAAAAAGTCTTGAGTGGTGAAATTGATGTCAATAGACCGGTAAGATTAATTTTTAATTGTTCCGCATGGTTTACAAAAAAAAAATTAGGCAGAAAATTTTTTAAATATCATTCATTCCTTTGTTGTGTGTAAAAAATTCAAATTTCATGATTTAAATTTAAATGTTAAAAAAAAGATAAGATTGGTCCGTATTAAATAGGATCGGGTAAAGATTTATTAGCCTTCTGGCCTATTATATGAGAGATACATAGTGTATAGCCTTGTGGCTAATAACAATTGATGTTCATAGGCTTAATTTATATGGTTTCATTAGGTAGGTATCAGTAATTTATAACCTTCTAACTTGTAAGACTTCTAAGAGTTAAAAATGCTAAAAACATGTTTTTCCTTCGTACTTAAAATGTATTGTTTAAGATAATATGATTTAAGTATTCGACTTTACCATACACTAGGTTTTATCGCATTTATATAAAGATTTAGTATTAATACCACTCGGTATTTTATAGTAAGAGTTAAAGAGTGGGTAGAGAGATGCCTTTTCCGTTCTTTTTCGTAGCTAAAGGGGTGAATTCGTTTTATAATTTACTCGTAATGCGTGCTTAATTTTCATCAACACACAATTTTGAGCCAGTAATACTTTTTAAAAAGTTTCATTAAATTCTAAAAGAGATTATATATTGAACGCAAATTGTTCAACTGGGTATTTTTCTTATATTTTCTAGTAGTTTCGCTGAAAACTCGTGAAAAAAATTGATAAAAATCTGTTTGTTTAACATATTAGTTGATTATTTTTTGATAATCTAAGCTCCAATTTCGAGTTAATTATTCAAGTTCAATAAATATCGAAATTAAATTATATAAAATACAATCATTTACCAATAGCTACAAATGGTACAATACCTATACTGAGCCAACGTTATAAGTAGGTAACTTTTCACTGTATACCTGACAATTGTATATAGTAATAGCATGGATTATAGAATGTCTATTCTATAATTAATTATACTAGTTTCATACAGATAATACTTATTGATAAAAAATGATTTAAAGTAAACAAATCATTAACTGGTATTTCAAGGTTGAACATTTCAATGCATATATGATGAAATTGAAAAATATATTTTTTTTGATTACAGATATCAGGAGTTAGACTTGGCCGCAAACGCAGCAAATCAGAAATAGTGAAGAACCATGCAAGTGATTGTTGTACGTTTACATAAAATAAAAATAGTATTTACCTACACAGTATACTAAAATTAGGCCACAAGTGACAAACACGTCAAATTATATTTGTATATTTGTAACATAATATTATTGATTTTTAATTACTACCTACGTACTTTACCTAACGTTACTATTTATTATTATTATTTTTTGTTTTCCATTATTAGAACTATAGTTCTTAGCTATTACTAAACATAGATATTAGATATTATAACAAAAAAAAAATCACAATTAGTAAACAATACTTCAACTAATCTACTAATGAAGATATTTTTTTTCGTTTACCGAACTCGGATGTTCAGTTTATATTATGTATTTATGTATCTTGGAAGTGAATCTTTTCATAGCGAAGACACTTTCTTTTCATAATTTATTCCCTTTTAAATAAATTAACTAAATGTTTGTATTTTAAAAATGTTATTTTATTACAAATATAGCACATAATATTTTAAACAAATCTCTATTTATATGTAGGTACTTACACTACTTTTTATTTACATGTTCATCAAATATTTGATGGTTAGGTAATATGTATGTTTAAATATATTTAACATATTGTTTTATATTTCATGTACTATTGTAGCTTATTTTTGATAAGTAAAAACTACCTTTTGATAATGTTTTTTTACTGTATAAATATTAGTCCATGAAATGTGACTTAAAATCAAAAACATTTACCTAACAAGGCACACCTTAATTTATTGTTGAGTTCATAATAATAGATTGAACACATAAATGTGAAAATATTCAATTTGTTTATTCAAGTAATACTATTCTTAATTCGTCTAAATACAATATTGGTTTTTAAATTTATTTTAATTCATCAGTCAATGCTGTTAAAATCTTAAAAATGAAATAAATACAAGTTTTACATCATTTTAACACTACATACAATGTGTATTAATTTCATCATTAAATTAGTATTTTTACTGTTAAAATCAATTTTTTTATGTTGATGTAACGAAATTAAAAGATTATAATATTAAACTATTATGTTTTTAATGTGTTTTTGTTCAAAACGGTATGAAAAGTGAATGTTATCGACCTCAATTTATATAAGTGAAGTTAATGAAATTACAGGTTATAAAAAATATTCATGTATGTATCTTTATTATTAGAAGTATAAAAAATGCTCATAACAAAAAAATAAATGTGCTATCATTGTATACTCATTGGTAGAGTTTGGTATTTTATGTTTTTATATATATATTTTAATGTGCTCTAGAAGGGATTAAAACACGTAAATAAATTATTTTAAGCTTAAAATGTAGGTACATAAAAAAACACGAACGACTATATTTAAAGAATAATGAATATTTAAAAGATTTGTCATATTTTAGAGTCGGTAGGTATCTTAAAAAATGTGAGTTAAAAATATTTATTCTAAGTAATTGAAATCTACTGCAAGTCCTTGGGATAAATATGGTATATACAGGGTGTCCAGTAAGGATATACCCATTAGCCGTAGAGAGGGACTCACCGCCAGGAAAACCCGGTTTTTTTGCCATTTTACCTATAAACTGAAAAAAAGATTAAGACTCATAAAATTAATGAAAATAAAATGTTGAAAAGTTAAAATTTTCAGAAAAATGAACTTTAAAAAATGGATATCTTCAATTGTTTTCAAAAATAAAAAAACAAATTTTTTTACTTTTTTACCAAAAACTGAAGTTAAATTAAGAACTAAAATATATGTAGTCCTTGTCTCTGTGAGTCTTATAAAAAACATATTTATGATATATTTACTATCTCAGGAGATATCGCAAAAGGTAAATCCTTGAAACCTTGTATACTGTTCCAAGTTCGTTATGAGCTTTTTTAATTTTTTGACATTTATTAAGATCCGCCTCTTATTGGTATCATTTAGTATCAGTTTTCAGTTCTCAATTACAAATAACTAGTTACTAGTTGTACAGTATATTTACAACTGATAATTAGCTAGTCTTTTGTCAAGATTTACACCTTAGTTTTTTTCTATGCCATCTACTGCAATGTATTCTTTGTAACTATGACCAAATTATTTTTCTAACCAGTATTCAATTAATAATTTTAAATATTATTATATTAATAGTACAACCATTAATATAAAATATTTGATTTATTATAAACAGAAAGTCAAACATTTAAGCCCCTTACAATATAAGCAAGAAATTAAAGGGTACAGAAGTTATTCAAGTAGAATATTAAATCCACATTAAATAATAGTGGGTATTCATTTATAAATATATGTATGTGTGAATATGTTGTAATGTAAAACAGGGAAATGTTATTAATCTTGGATGACTGAAAGGTATTGTGAGCATAAAAAGGGTTACGATGTTAATTTTTGGTTCTGGTAGGTGCTTTCAAATTATAGGTAGGTATTAGGTATTGTTTATATAAGTTATATTATTTTATTAGTAACTTTCAAACAGGTAAATTTATAATGTTTTAAAAAGAGAACATGTTTTAAATGATTATATCCCGGGGTCATAATTATATACCTTAGGGCCAGTGTAAAAAATATATTTCGGGACAAATATTTTAGGTATCTACTGAGTAAAAGAAAAAAAAAGAAAGAGTTTTTCGTTTTATGCATAATATTATTTTTATTGCAAACATTTAACATTTTTGATTATATCTACTGAGTTTTTGCAATGATTACGTACCTACCTATTTTGAATTTTGATTAAACGTGGTACTTTGTTGTGAATATAAAATTGATAGTCTCATCATCCTTCGTCAATAAACGAGTAGGTATTTTTGTATATTGTATTATATAATAAAACCTTCAATTATAATTTATTTTGTAGGTCGATTGTTGAATTTATATTCTGTATAATTAATTGTCCAAATATTAGTCATATAGGTTGGATAATAGTTTGTACAATTTGAGCCTTAAAATAAAATATTAGGACTTGGATTTAAAAAAAGTACCTATATAAAGAATGACGTATTGTTACTTTAATCCAAATTAACATTTAAGAATTTATAATACTAAAATAAAAATGTATGTGCATTAAATATTGTAAATTATAAGAGTAGAATAAACAACATAATTTTTTTTAAATTTCAATATATCATCATAAATCATGAATTAGCTATACGTATTCCAGCGTGTATATTATATTAATTACTAATTTAGCTATATTAATGTTTAAACTCAAACACAAGGGAAATAACTATATTATAAGGTATACACAAAAGTTTCTTGAACTCCATATATCACTTTTTCTTCTTGTTGAAACTTGTAATGTTTTGTAATTAGTGAACTACCTACTTGTACAATATTCGATTCTAATAGTTACAAGACACGTTATCGTTTTATTAGTTGTCTGCTATGAGAGTACAAGTGAAATGTAACTTATTTTGTAGAAATCAAATTAATAATACCTAATGAAAACAGTTCCAGGTCAAAATATCTCCCCCGAAAATATATGTGGCAAAATGTCTCGGATACTAAATATCTCCAGACAAAAACATCTTCGATTTAAAATATCTATAACACAAAATATCTCCAGTAAAAATATCTCTAATAGAAATATCTCCCAAAAATATTTTAATATGTATATTTTACATAGTATTAATGTTTTTATAATAACAATAATTAAAAGCAGGTAATAAAGATATTACTGAAGTAAGTACATTTTCTAGTAATAATACTTAGAAAATAATTCCATAGGCAACAATATTACAATAATAATATTATTACCCTGGCCAATTTGTACTAGCTATCTGATATATTTTTCACTATCACGAGTGCGATTACAAACCATGATAAACGACTTTATCGACGTAACGACTGTATCGATATGACAGTGTATCAGTATAGACACACAGCTATTATTGACTAATTTCTAAGCTAGTTCCACTTTTACTAAAATTTATACAACGAATTTGGATTTTAAAATGCCTCTACAATTTATTGTAAGTCAAAAAGGACACAATTTATTATTTTATAACGGATACCTTCGTACATTTTATAAAGAAGGTGTGAACTAATTCATTTGGCGTTGTACTGAGTACAAGAAAAAAGTACGATTTAAAGTGGCAAGTCAATACAACAAAATTACATTTCTGAAATAGTTAAGGGAATTGCCCAACAATCTTAAATTTTAAATACATTTTGTAAAATTATTTTTCTATATTCATTCTTGCTAACATAACGTATAAACTAGATTTAATTTTCTACCAAGAAACATTTGAACAGTAAAAATCCAAGCATTTTTCAACTATAAAAAAAGGGGAAAGTAGGTAACCGCTGTTCTGTACAGCAGAGTGTATCATGTCATTCACTATTTCACTGTAATGGATATGTTAAATTTGAATTGAATGATAAATCAATCCATACGAAAAACTATTCTGATTGGAGACCGTCTGTTAGCCTATTACCAAATAAATATAAAATTGATATTCATTATTATAGTAATTTATTATTGAACTATTACTGTGCATATAAACTATAAATATAAATAACATATAATAAATCTAAATATTATAAAAATGTCACAGTGTATAAAATAATATGTAATAATATAGGTACGTAAAAGTGTTTCAAACCGCCAAGAATAATATTTTTAAATAACAACAAGATAACTAAAATGTATAATAAACTATACTTATAATGAACCAATTGTATTAAAATTTAAGCTTTTTGGCTGTGCAAAAGTTTTTTTTATTGACGTTTGTAAAAAAGATACATTCATCGAAACTAAAAATAAATAAATCGAAAATATACATATATATTATATAGCTCAAAACGCGTTAGTTTATGTTAAAAATTGTATTAAGATATATAGAAAAAGCTAATATAAACATTCGGTAAATATGCCAAGTCTCTACAGTTATTTGTTTTTAGTTTATACCAAAAGAATACAATTATTTATCGAGAAATCGTTTTTTACGCACAAATAATTTTGTTGAGATTTAAACTTTAGATGCTCATAAAAATATTTGTGTTCCTTCAACTTTATTTTTGAATCCAGAAATAACAGTCTATTAGCAATCCTGTATTATATTTTACAATATTTGGTATAAATATTAGAATTTTAGAAACTATGAACTCCATAAAATAGTTTGCAAATTTTTGTTCAGAATTAAAAACTAAAAATTTAAGCAAGTAAATCTACTACAGAAATGAATTGAGAATTTTTAAATTTGACCTTCTCTCCCAAAATTACAAACTTGTTCAAATTTGTAACAATAAATTTACATCCTTAAAGTTGAAAATTGAAGAATTTCTACTGCTCTAAGAGGTTATGACAGCTAGACAAAAAAAAAAAAATATGAATGTAAAACTCAGACTCTAAAAAAAATATTGTACCTAATCGCTTACATTTTCGTAGACCGAACAGTGCTAGTTTATTATGTTAAAATTATTACCCT